CTTCCTATTATATAATAAAAATAAAAAAGGAAGAATAATAAAATAAAAAAATATATATAGTTCAAATCCCCTTTTTAGAACTCACATAAAATCTCAAAAAAAAAAAAATGTTTTATTTGTTTTCACCAATCCTGGTTTTCAGTACTATTACATGCAATAGGGAGTGCAGTCCCCAATCTGCACAACGCTTGAAAAATGAGTAATTATTGCATGACTCCACACTTGTGAGTACCCATTTGGGATTTCATTGCTTTTTATTTCACACTTATTCCTGCAATACTGCGCAATCGGCTGTGCCTCTATTTTCCTTACAGAACAAGAATTATATTGAGAATAGGGGTGGGTCGCCTACACGGACTCAGAAATAATTCAAACCAGAGCTGGGTCTATAGCTCTTCGTTTGTGAGTGTATACACAATTGAATCAATATATATTGCTTTATAATGAATGACCTACACTATGTTTAATTATCTTTTATAGGCATCTACTTATTGGGCTTGTCAGGAAAATGCTTCTTTAAAAAGCTCCATAAGGTGATTAATTTCTCTCTTTACATAAGCGCTACATTCCTATTTTTTATTATTTTGTATCTGTGATATTGTAAGGAGTCATCTGAATGTTTAGCAGCTAAATTAGATTCACCCACCAAATGGTATATTGTTAATTAAATACATAAGCGCTGGTTACTTTTCACATTTACTGTAGTGGTTATGGTGTCATGAGTCCCCCTGGTACCATATCACAGTAAGCCTCCTCCACCCCTAAGAAAATAACAGAGCCAAGTCCCTTCCCTGTCGGTCCATGAAGGGCCGGCGCTATCCATGGCAACGCTCCAGAGACCGCTCTAGCCCCAGGAGCAGCAGACTAGAGTTCATTTTTACCACTACAACCACCAGGGCAAGGCCGTCATTGGGGGTGACAACCATGACAGTTGTCATGGGCCCGGCGGTCCTGGGGGCCCGGGCCCCATCTGTAGCGGCGGAACTGCCACCAGTGCAGCTGCACCGGGGTCCGCACACTGATGGGGCCCATCGGGTGGCCCAAGCATTTAAGGCCACCCTATGGGCCCTATATCTTCAGGGGCCCAGTCAGCGCTGCGGCCGTGTAAGAATGCGACTGTGCCCCTTTAAAAAAAATGCAGCCGCAAGTACTGCTGGGAGGAAGTCACAGCCGGTCACTTTCTCCCAGCTCAATCCGCGCGGCAGGGAGGGAGGTGCCAGGCCATGAAGAGGGAGAGCCACACCGACTCCCATCAGCCCCAGTCATCCTCCTGCAACGAAAAGATAAGAAACAGGAGGGTGGCTGAAAAATTAGCTATGTATGTCTATGTATGTATGTCAGTATGTATGTGTATATATATGTATGTATGTATGTATGTCAGTGTGTATATGTATGTATGTTTGTTTGTATGTCAGTATGTGTATGTTAGTATGTCAGTATGTGTGTATGTATGTGTCTGTATGTATGTCAGTATGTGTGTATGTATGTGTCTGTATGTATGTCAGTATGTGTGTATGTATGTATGTGTATGTATGTATGTATGTCAGTGTGTATATGTATGTATGTTTGTTTGTATGTCAGTATGTGTATGTTAGTATGTCAGTATGTGTGTATGTATGTATGTGTCTGTATGTCAGTATGTATGTATGTATGTGTGTGTGTATGTATGTGTGTGCGTCTGTATGTCTTTATGCATGTGTGTGTCTGTATGTTTGTTAGTACGTGTCTGTGTGTTACTATGTATGTATGTATGTATGTGTGTCTGTAGATGTGTGTATGTCTGTTTCAGTATGTTTGTGCCAGTATGTATGCCTGTCTGTGTGTATGTCTGTTTCAGTATGTGTGTCTGTTAGTTTGTATGTGTGTGTTTGTATGTGTGTATCTTTGTGTGTGTGTGTGTGTGTATCTGTGTCCTTTTGTATCAGTGCGTGTGTTTGTGTCTGTGTGTACTTGTGTGGGCAGGATTTGGAGGCGGCCCTTATGGCGGGCTTGGAGGTAGGCCCAGACCTTGAGCTGTGTTAGGGGCCCCAAAATATCTGATGGTGGCCCTGCACCAGGGATTCTCCATCAGACCACCGGGGCTTCACAATCGCTATCCCCCCTCAATGGGCAAAGGTAAGAAGGGAGGGGGGATATAAACCATTTTTATTTTAATTAAAAAACAAACAAAATAAACGTATATTTGTTTTAATCAGCCCGCACCCCCAACACACAATAATTCCGTACACATTCACACACTGCCCCACACACACACACTTTCCCCCCATACACACAATGCCCCACACACACACCACCCCCATACACACACGGCCTCTCTACACCCCCATACACACACTGTCCCCATACAAACACACTGCACCCATCAAACACACTACCCCTCACACACACTACCCCACACACACATACATTGCACCTCTTACACACATACACACTATACTGCCCCTAACCCCTATCCCGGCAGATCTAAGGTAAGTTGTCAAACTGTTCTAAATGGTTTGACTACTTAAACTGGGGGGTGCCACGGCACTCCCACCTCCATTACCACTATAGAGAGCTGTGGTGGTTAGTGTGCCTGGATTGTTTCTTTAAATAATCTACCATTGTCCCTCCCGAGATTAGGTTCTGGATCCGCCCCTGAGGTTGAGGTGAGAGGTTGAGCAAAAGAAGATCCAAATACACCCTGGTTTCACACTATGTCAGTAATTACTCAAATGTCTATGAGATTATTCACTGAACATTTAATTGCAAGCCTCCCAACCGTTCCAATTTCAGCGGGACAGCCCTGATTTTTGGGTCCTCTCCCACCTTAGTTCCCTAGTGTCACGCTTTAAGGGACAACAAAAAACTATTCCCAGCAGTCACAGCATGAGCTCATCATTGGAAGCACTCATGCTCTGTTTAGGGGTCAATTCTCAGTGGTTAAATTGATTGGCAGGCAATCTGGTGTGTATTCACGCAAGGCTGACCTGCCAGTAATGTGGGTGGACACTCCCCCTTTGGGCAGAGCTAGTAATGTGCTCGGCTGCGGTCATTTTAAATATGCCATTGTCCCCCCAAGTAGCAGGGAGACTCCCATGGTCTTAGAAATACCCTGGTCAGGTCTCTCTGCTTTCCTCCTGCTCCTTGATTGGTGCTGGGATATGCCAACAGCCTAGCATTAATCACTGTTTGTAGGAGCTGAAGCATGAGAGGGAGATCTCCACAACTGCTACACATGCCGATACACAGACACACACTGCCACAATGGCAGACACACAGAAGTAAGCACAGACACAAATCTAGATACACAATACACTGCCACACATGCAGAAACACATACACACTGACACACATGGAGTTACACAGACCCATAGATACAAACACTGCCACAGATGTAGGTGCACAGACACACAGAAGCAAACACTGACACACATTTGGAAATACAGATACACGCACTGACACATGCAGATACACACTCACAGATACAAACACTGCCACACATGCAGAAGCACAGACACACAAATACAAACACTGCCACAGATACTGATGCGCAGACACATAGATACAAACACTGACATACATGCAGATACACAGACACAGAGCAGCAAACACTGACACACATCTAGATACACAGATACATACACTGACACACGCAGATACACAGACACATGTATACAAACACTGACACACATACAGATACAAACACTACATACATAAATACAGATCCAGACACACAAGCAGATACAGACACACAAAAACACACATACAGGTAAATATTTTAGCCACCTTCCATTTTCCTGTTTGGGAGCAGGATGGTGACTTCTGCTGGCTGGAGTTGTTGGGAATTAGGGGCTAGCTCCTCTCCCAGTCCGGGGGCCTAAACTCTCCCTCTACCCTGCAGGCTGGATCTGTCAGCCAGCTCTCACTTCGTCACAGTACTCCCTGCAGGTGAGAAGGGGGCCGGTTGCGCTGTTTATAGTGTAGCAACACACAACCAGGCCCCTGATGGCACCTGTCTATCAAGTGGCCCATGCACTTAGGGCCTTCCAATAGACAAATGCTATCAGGGGCCCTGCAGTTCCCAGCCTGTGCAGTGTGCTGGCAGTAGAGCCGCCATTACTGATTTTGTTTTATGTATTCCTGCGGGAACTGGACTGTACCTTAGGGTACGCATATCACAGGTTGGGAACCACTGACCTAAAGGATTGATAGGTCAGCCTGGCGGGAATGCACACCGGGCTGCCTGTCCATCATTGAGGCTGGCCCACTGAGGGCAGACCCTGCAGGCAGCATTGTTTCATTGAACACAATAGCGATATTATGATTGTGATGGTGGCACAGGACCCGAAAATCAAGACGGTTCCACTGAACCAGGGATGGATGGGAGGAATGATTTAGTTTAGGTCAAACTAGCCCAATTAAAAAAAAAAAAAAAAAAAAGTTTGTTTATTTTGGCCATAAATAGTTAATTCATTACGGGATAGGCGACCTTCGGCACTCCAGATGTTTTGGACTACATCCCCCATAATGCTCTTACACCCGTAATGCTGGCAAAGCATCATGGGAGGTGTATTCCAAAACATCTGGAGTGTGGAAGGTTGCCTATGCCTGGGTCACTAGTACTAACAGGGCAGTGTGACCCCTTTCACATACAGCCCACCACCATGTGCTATCAGGAGTCCAGGTAAACAGTAATGATGCTTGACCTCTGTCTATGAATAAATAATTATTAAAGCCATTTTTTATTTTATTTTTTATAACAGGGTTACTATGGTCCATCTACAAACTGATCCTGACTGCTCCACCTGCACGTGGAATGTCTCTTATCTCAGTATAAAGATAGAGGCTGGAATATTGCCCTAAACAAAGATGGCCGCCGCGGGCACGTACTTCCGGTCACCTGGCAAAACCGCCGCTCATGACGTCATACAAAGCGTCTCTCTCTCTCTCTCCCCCTCCACCCGCCGTCGCCGTCACCCGTGACGTGTTAGCCCCGCCCCGTTTGGCGGAGTCCTGCAGGAGGGTGGGGGAGTTAGTGGGAGATACCGAGTGCCTGTAACATGGCGTCGGAGGGTGCCACCATCCCGCAGCTAGTGGAGAGTATAACACAGAGCAGCCCCGCTGCTGCCAGTTGTAGCGTGCCCATGGCGGGGGGTGACATTAGTAGTAATGTACACACCACCATCCCCTGCCAGACAGGTGAGTGTGAGTGAGCCCCAGCAGTCATACACTCGGGGAGCCGGCTAGGCCCAGGGCCCCCAGGGGCCACAATACGGCCCACAACACGGCCCTGCCTTCCTGGGCCTCTGCTGTGCTGTGAGAGCAGTGAGAGGGGAGACACACCGGCCATGGCTGCCTAGAGGACAGGCTGGATGGAAATATACTCCATATTATATACACCGTGCTATATACTGCATATACACCATGCTATATATACTATGCTATATACTGCATATACCATAGTATATAACTGGACAGGCTGGAGATATACACCATATACACTGTGATATACTCCATGCTATATATACTATGCTATATACTGCATATACACCATGCTATATATACTATGCTATATACTGCATATACCATATTATATAACAGGACATGCTGGAGATATACACCATATACTCCATATACACTGTGATATACTCCATGTTATATACACTATGCTATATACTGCATATACACTGTTATATATACTATGCTATATACTGCATATACCATATTATATAACTGGACAGGCTGGAGATATACACCATATACTCCATATACACTGTGATATACTCCATATTATATACACCGTGCTATATACTGCATATACACCATGCTATATATTCTATGCTATATACTGCATATACCATAGTATATAACTGGACAGGCTGGAGATATACACCATATACTCCATATACACTGTGATATACACCATGTTATATACACTATGCTATATACTGCATATACCATAGTATATAACTGGACAGGCTGGAGATATACACCATATACTCCATATACACTGTGATATACACCATGTTATATACACTATGCTATATACTGCATATACCATAGTATATAACTGGACAGGCTGGAGATATACACCATATACTCCATATACACTGTGATATACACCATGTTATATACACTATGCTATATACTGCATATAGTATATAACTGGACAGGCTGGATGGAAATATACTCCATGTACTCCATGTTATATACTCCATATTATATACACTATGCTATATGCTGCATATACCATATTATATAACAGGACAGGCTGGATGGAAATATACTCCAGATTATATACACCATGCTATATACTGCATATACACCATGTTATATATACTATGATATATACCATAGTATATAACTGGACAGGCTGGAGATATACACCATATACTCCATATTATATACTGCATATACCATAGTATATAACAGGACAGGCTGGATGGAAATATACTCCATGTACACCATGCTATATACTGCATATTATATACTCCATATTATATACACTATGCTATATGCTGCATATACCATATTATATAACTGGACAGGCTGGAGATATACAACATATACTCCATATTATATACTGCATATACACTGTGATATACTCCATGTTATACACTATGCTATATACTGCATATATCATATTATATAACTGGACAGGCTGGAGATATACACCATATACACTGTTATATAACAGGAAGGGCTGGAGATATACAGAGCTATACACCATGTTATATACTAAATGTTATATAACAGGAGAGGCTGGAGATATACAGAGCTATACACTAGGTTATATATTCCTGGTTATATATATTCCATGTTATATACACTGTTATGGCTCAGTAAATCTCCCCCAGTCATGTGTGTACAGGAAGGCCATGGCTGCCTAGAGGAGAGGCTGAAGATACAGAGCTATACACCAGGTTATTTAACAGGAGAGGCTGGAGATATACAGAGCTATACACCAGGTTATATATTCCATGTTATGGCTCAGTAAATCTCCCCCAGTCCTGTGTGTACAGGAAGGCCATGGTTGCCTACAGGAGAGGCTGGAGATATACAGAGCTATACACCATGTTATATACTAAATGTTATATAACAGGAGAGGCTGGAGATATACAGCGCTATACACTAGGTTATATATTCCTGGTTATATATTCCATGTTATATACACTGTTATGGCTCAGTAAATCTCCCCTAGGCCTGTGTGTACAGGAAGGCCATGGCTGCCTACAGGAGAGGCTGGAGATATACAGAGCTATACACCATGTTATATATTCCATGTTGTATACACCAGGTTATGGCTCAGTAAATATCCTAGCACTGTGTACACACATAGTTCTGCCTATTGGAGGGCCTGGAGATATACAGAGTTATATACCATGTATGATGGTAAGATAGATATATATATATATATATATCTAACATACGTACACACACACACTATTTTTATGGCTCAGTAAGTTTCCACAGCAGCCTTTTGTGTACAGAAAGGCCTGGCAGTCTCCTCAGCAGTATTTGTTTATGATTTTTGCCATTTTTCTTTATAAGCCCCTTGTATGTACATAGAAGCCCATGGGAGTTTCCCATGTAATACCATATACAGGGCTTTTCCAGATACATCTAAGGTGCTTCATGTGGATAAATCTCATCTTTTATGCATAAAGTATGGATTACATTATGGTATTGATGAGATTTAACATTAAGCATTCTAAATGACAGTATTTGGGTTGGTTCCTGTTTTTTTGACTCGCCTTCTGTGTTTATACATAGGTTCCACCCTAATGTCACTGTAGAGATATTATGTATCTTGCCTTCTTACATATCTACAGGCTAGGACTTGAGTAGGCATTGTACGGCAATGAAGATGTTGTGGACCACGTCTCCTTTACTGCTCTTGCAGCCATAATACTGGCAAAGCATCATGGGAGACGTAGCCCACAACATGGAGTCCCTATCGTTGCCTACCCCTGAGCCAGATGATTTTAAGAGAAAGGTAATCTCGTATTTTAATGTTTTTATTTCCAATGTGAGGATCCAGAGCTCTAAATGCCTTATCCTTATTAAAAATAGACTTAAAGGGAAACTCCAGTGCCAGGAAAACAATCCGTTTTCCTGGCACTGCAGGTTTCCTCCCACCCCCCAATCCCCGGTTGCTGAAGGGGTAAAAACCCCTTCAGTAACTTACCTGAGGCAGCGACGATGTCCCATGCTGCTGCTCCTCTGGATTGCGTTGGCCAGTGGGCGAGACTGATCCCTCCCACCGCCCGGGGAGACCTAATGCGTATGCGTGGCGATGCCACGCATGCGCATTAGCGCTCCCCATAGGAAATCATTGAAAATACATTTCAATGCTTTCCCATGGGGAAATGAGCGACGCTGGAGCACAGGTTTCCTGTGCTAGAAACCAGGAAGTGCCCTCTAGAGGTGGAGTTAACCCTGCAAGGTAATTATTGCAGTTTATAAAAAAACTGCAATAATTACACTTGCAGTGTTAAGAGTAGTGGGAGTTGGCACCCAGACCACTCCAATGGGCAGAAGTGGTCTGGGTGCCTGGAGTGTCCCTTTAAGAAACAAATTTCTGCTCCTAATACTAACTTAAAAAAAACACAAATACGAATTTACCAATAAATAAAATGTGACATCCAACATATTGTGTTTGCAGTGGAGAGATTGCCTTGTAATACTTTACTTTGTGGGTTTATTCATTAAACTCCAAGTTGTAGTAAATTGGGGAATTTTCACACATGTAGCTCTCAGCTCGTTGGCTGGTAGTGATCAGCTGACGTTCTCAGCCAATAAGCTCAGGAGAGGTAATGGAAGCTCTTAGCGGGGCAGGGCTCACATATGACATGGATAAACGCTAAAATTGGGATGCTATAAAGACCTCCTGCATCCTCACACAAGTAATATCAAGTGAAAGGATGGTGTAGTACTCTTCACAAGTTGTGAGATGTCTTTTTTTTTTTTTAGTTAATTGCAGAAAACACACAAATGGCAATGTTGCAATTTGTGTGTTTCCTTCAATGCACTAAATCAGGGCTGTCCAACAGATAGATCCCCAGATGTTGTAGAACCACAACTCCCATGATGCTTTGCATGCCTTTTAGAATGACAAAGCTTTGTGGGAGTTGTAGTTCTACATCATCTGGGGAGCTACCTGTTGGGCAGCCCTGCGACTAAATAAAACACCTCAGAACTTTTGCAGAGTGCTAGACCATTCTTTCACTTCAAATTACTGAAGTGGTGCTGATCCTTGGAGTGTTCCTTTACTTTTAGTCTCCGTTTTACCATTCTGCCTTCAATTTGCTGCTTTTTAGAGTTTAGCACGTGTGCAAATTTCCCTAGAATTTCTGTACAAGTAGTTAGTGAATATAAACCCCATTATTTTATGGGTATCTAGTGAGAAATACAGTGCAGCTTCCTATAATTTAGAATTAGGAACCCTAAGGTATTGTATGTAAATTAGACGCTTATATACTTTGTGCAGCATGCAGTTGGGGAGCTTCTAAAATCATATCTAGCTTTGGTAGAAGAAATTTCCCTCAGATTTTCATATGTTGCTCCTTACTATAAGATTATAGCTATAGTTGTAATTAATTCTTTGTTCCCCTGGGATTATGTATGAAAAGAGATTAGGAGACCCTTGGTTCTAATTATGGGTAATTTGAAACTGAAGAGGAGTTATAAGTATGTAAATAACATGAAACTGGATTCCTCAGACCGCATGTGCTTTTTGAGTGAGTATATTTGGAGCAACAAGTCTCATGGGTCAGAGCTACCCTGAGCCCATTCACATTACTAATAGTGGATTGCAGCAGTAGCAATTTGTAAAAATCGCTGCTGCTATAAGACAGCACAAAGCAAAAAACATTTAAAGGGACTATTTGGGCACCATAACTTCATGTAAATTATTTTTTTTTTTTTTTTTTTTAATGTTGCCAGAATGGGTTAAACTGTTCTCAACCTCACCCCAAAGTTTTCTCCAATGTCGATCTCAACTACCCCCAGGCGGCATCCCGCTCCTGAAATTTCAGTTTCAGAAAGTGCAGCATGCTGCCAGGCAGGGGCAACACTGATTGGCTGAGAGAAACATAAGAGTGCACTCTGGAACCTCCTGGCACCATAACTTCATTTAGATGAAGTTGTTGTGGTGCCTGGAGTGTTCCTTTAATTCTGACCTTCATTGGTGAGAGCCAAACCACAAACTGCACTTTGGTTGTCCAATGCAAAGCTGGTAGTGAAACACAGTCCTGTTCACTACACAGTGAACAGGGATGTGAATAAACTGTGGTGCTAACAGTTTATTGAGCAGTTCCAATTATCCCATGTAATGATTAGAACAACTATTTGTGAATAAACCGCTTATCCTGTAAAGAACAGCTAGACAGAATTTTATGGGATAAGACCATCCTGGTGTGGGAGAGGTCTGCCAGCAGGTAACTTTAAGTTTTTTTTTTATGTAACATGTTTTCTAATGCATTAAAATATATGGCATATTGTTAACACTTGAGGACTAACCCTTTAACACTTTAAGCCTGGGACTTCACTGTGAGCTCTCCTTTCTCCCTTTAAAACACATGACCTAATAAAATCGACATTGCCTCTGAAGGCTTCACCTTAACTTAGAGCCTAGTATATTAGTACGGTATAAAAGCTAAATGATGTACACAGGTGAAAAGGCATATATCTCGTCTATTTATTTTTTATACTGAAAAGTCCTAATGTATTCACACTTCCCATTAATAGAAGTATGCAGTTTATCATGTCCAAATGCCATATTCCACAGCAAGTATAGCAAAGGTGACAATATTGCTCTTTATAAAAATGTGCACTTAGCAGGGCTAAGATATTTTTATTGCATTCTTGCTGTATACATTTTAATATGCATACCTGGAAAAAGATATGAACACCCTAGCTGCAGCAAAAGCAATGTTTTTATTAAAGTGCAAGTTGTATGTCATTTTACCTGTTTGCAGAAGTTATATTTGACATTAATGCTATTCAGCAGCATTCAGCTTGTTGAAAATAAGTCAGGACCTGTCCTGAATCCTATATTTTAATTTTTTATTTTATTTTTACAAAAATCCTATGTAAGGTCGTTTTACAGATAACTTTCACCCCTGCTAGCAATTTAAGGTCTGGCAATTTCGTGGTTAATTTTCCTTTAAACAAAAAACAACCAACCAAAAAACATATAATTAAAGGAACACTATATTGTTAGGAATACAAACATGAATTCCTAATGCTATACTGTTTTCCCACCTATGTAGGTGGCCACCCCTAACTAAGATAATCAATCTCAATGATTTCAGCCAATCCAGTGCTTCCCCGTAGAGAAGGATTGGGAGGCTAATGCGCATGCATGCACGCTGTTCTAGCTATGGAAGCAACTCTAGGTACAGACGGTTTTTCTGCAAAGCTGCAATTTTTTCAGTTGCAGGGATAAACAGACAGGGGCGTTGCACACAGGCCACTTTATTGCAATGAAGTGGTCTCGGTTTTTGTCGAGTCCCTTTAAAGGAACACTCCAAATACCGTTACCACTGCAGTCCACTATAGTGATTATGGTGGCAGAAGTGCCCTGGTACCATCTCATAGTAAGTAGTCAAACCATTTTAGTACTGTTGGACAGCTTACCTGTGTCCCGTGGGCAACCATACCTGTAAGAGAAGCTGTATGTCTCCATACAATAAAGCAAATCGATGCAATAGGTGCTTTCAGCTGATACGTGTTCTCCTGCATCTCCCTGCTTATGCTCTATAGAGCAATCTTAATTCTCAGGCAGGAGAAGACCGAAAGCTGGTGTGCAGCTGGACACGGGTAAGTTGTGAAACCATGCGAAAACTGTTTGGCTACATACCATGCAATGGCGCCGGGTCGTTCAGCACCATAACCACTACATCAAGCTATAGTGATTATGATTCTTATTACTCCTTTTAAATTTCCATATAGTCCAACTTTTAATGTATAATATAGATAAAAACATATGACCAAATGTTAATTCCCTGATTTTGCTTCACATCACTACAATTTACAGTTGCTTCAGTGATATCTTTCGGACAGTTCTCACTAGTAGATTCTATAGGACAGCAGAGCACACATCAAACCCTCACTGTTCCTTGCTAGAAACTTTAATATATGTAAAATCTTGAATGAAACTGCATGTCCTGCAGATGCAACACCTAGTTTCTGTCAGTTTACTGTTGGCACCATTCATGCTTTTTAAAGAGTGTAGCAACCAAGTAAGCGCATGGCTGCTGCACGGTTTCCTTGGTCTCTATGAAGAAGCTAATAAGAGTACTTGTTGGCTTTCTCACTTATAGAATAATAGAGGAGAGCAGGAGATCCATCCTAAAGGCTGCTCTCTGTTTCTTTGTTGTCATGTAGACATCTACAACAAGAACTGCTGCATTTAAAATATATATATATACATTTGCTAGCATTACTGCTAAGACAATGTGTCATTGAAATTTAATTTAAACCCATGTTGGGTGTACCATGACAAGTATGGTTTAAATAAAGCAAGTAAAATATAGTTTCTTGGAGTATTGTACTATTTCTCACAGTTTAAAATTAAGGTTTTTGTTTTTTATTTGTGGGTGTGATTAGATGATCCATGTTGGGCATCATAATAGTGAGAATGGTCTCAGCCAATGAATGGTGATGACCACAGTTAGTTTTTCTTGGTCTGGAGAAGCTGCAAGTGCATCACTGGACCACTAGGGAATGTTGGAGCCCTGTGCGGATCTAGATAACTGCCACTAAACAGTTTGCCCTATTTCAGAGTTACAGAGCCAGGGTACTCCTGGCAGCACATTCATTACACAGGACTGTAATGGTTATGATTCTTGGAATAACCATTTCCTCTATGAATTTACAGCGTGACTGTTATGGTTTATTTCTGGATCCAGCTTATCTGGAAATTTTCTCTGTCTATAAACACCATTGCAATAATCCAAGCACCATGACCACTTCAGTGACTGGAAGTCATTATGCAATCTGTATTCATTGGCTGAGAATGGTCAACTGCTCTGCAGAATCTAGAAGTGCTTTAGTGGACCACAATGGTGCCTCGGAGCCTAGTGTGGACATAAATAAGGGGGCAAACCATTACTAAACAATTTGCCCCAATACAGAGGAACCAAGCCAGGGGAATCACTACAGAGGGCTAAACTGGTTATGATGCTTGGAATAACCCTTTCCTCTATGAGGTTTTGTTGTTTTAGTCTATTCCTGGACCAAGCATATCTGGAGAGTGTTTCTCTGCACCTATCCATAAACACCATAGTGGTGCATCTTCAGGAATGTTTCATGAAACTCTCATGTCCTGCAGTGTTTACCAGTTAGAGTAGATGCAGCAAAATATTTTTCATCTGCCAATTTATAGCAGCAACAAATTTCACACGTCATAATAAAACATTTCCGTTCAAGAAAGGCTAAAAGTACATTATGCAACTCCTTGCACTGGTGTGTTTGTCTTATGAATAATGGTGAGGCCGACAAATTCTCTCAGCCATTGTTAGAGTGCTGTGGAAAACAGACATATTATCTTATGTTGTGCCAGTTGATCTATGTAGGATACCATGTGATCCTTCATAGACCTTGTCATATGCATGCAGTAGTGTTTAGTAGTCCTATGGCTCCTGGCAGGTCAAAAAATAGGAGCTGCAGAAAGAAGGGTCCTCCGTGGAGAGATTCAGCTAAGTATCACTACATTCTGCTCCACCCCTGGCTACCGCACAGAAAGCGAGCATGCACCTTAGGGGATCTTTACAGAATATATAAAGATCCCCATAGGTAACAGAGTCTCTTTAAATGATACTAAAGTGAACATGTCATTCAAAGTTTTGCTTCCATGAAATCGTTCCCATATACATTTAATACACCATGTATCACAAAGATATGTGGTGCAATATAAGTTTTAATTTGTGGGGTAATAGCTTCTTGATCCAAGGAGATATCTGACTGCCATTCTGGGGTCAAGATGGAATGTTTTTCCTAGTTTGTTGCAAAATTGAAAGCGCTTCAGACTGGGTTTCTTGCCTTTTTTTTTTTTTTGACGGCAAAAACAAATGTGAGAGGCTGAACTTGATGGTTATAAGTCTCTCTTCAACTATGTAACTATATATTCAGTGTAATATATACAGATTTACTAATTTTTCCTCGGTTCCAGCGCTGGCATCTTCACGCTTTGTTGGTGTTAACACCCACCTTCAGTCCATCCTAAACTCTTCCCGCAGTCTTCTTTGATTTGCCCAGCTTGGGACACATCCCCAAGCAGGGCAAACCTCGCCAGTGACGTTGGCGTACTGGCTTCGAAACGGAGTGACATCATGCCTATTAAATGTCACTCTGTTTCTATACTCCATAGCCAGCACAAGGTGCTCCAGCTAGAGAGTTTCCATGGCAACCACATCTGATTTGCTACGGTTGCTATGCGTAGAGAACAGAGGGACCTCCTGTGGTAAGTATTTTCTGCTGTCCCCTGTTTTTTTTTAATAGTTTTTTCTACTAATATATACTTTTGATAGCAAAACTGCTAGCATATTGTATAGATGGAATTTAATGAGCATAGGTTGTTTGGGACATGACAGGTACCCTTTAAATCAATACTCCAGGCAGATGGACAAATTATATGTGTACTAAAGCTTAGGCTAAGATACCATACTTTACTTAAACATGAATTGTTACTTCCAGAGACACTTCCTCGTTCCCTCAACCCAGTAAATATTTTTTGGCTTGAATAGAACTGCTAAGGTAAGCAAAATCCTTACTTACCTCTTGTGAACTTCTACATTTTAGAGGCTTCACCGCCATCAAACAAAAATTTCATATGCATGCAGGTGTTCACTTGGAATTGTTTATCGCAAGCCGTATACACGTCTGCTCTCATTGTACAGCACTGCTGGCGTTAACTAATTTGAATACTTTAGTCAACCAAGTATGTAGGTTAAGGGGGAAAAAACATTTTTAACTTTCTGCGCCACTCAGCCAACTTTTAGCTGGTATAATTGAGGAAATTTAGTTAGTTATTCTTTAAAGGTTACCTGTCACTTCCCAGTGTGTTTTTTTTTTTTTTTAATATTGTGCTTACTTACCACTATATTTATCAAATATGTATTTGTAAGGCCTGAGAAATTTAATATAGGAATCTTTACCTCTTTGTCAATCATTGTTCTAACTCACTCCCTATGCATACAAACTGCTTGAGAAAAGTGTGTACCATTTATGCGTGAGGAGCTACTGATAGGCTTAGATCGTCAGCTGACCACTCTAAGTCAGTTATCTGCGCCCCTGCCTGGCAGGTTTCTCTAGCTGATTCTCTAAAAGCAGACGTGGACAGGGAGAGCGAGGAACGGCGCTGGAGAGTAAATTTTGGGGTTAAATTGTTTGTGAATAGTTTCACCCCTAAAGTAAGGAAGCACCAGGAACCCCCAGGCTCCGTAACAACTCATTTTGATTAAGTTGTTGTGGTGCACTGACTGTTCCTTTCATACAAATTTAAAAGAAAACAGCATCTTGGGGAAACAAGATTAGCTCAAGTTTATGTGACTTTTATTGTTTTAATAGTGTAAATTCCACAGTAGTGACATATCTACTTTAATATGTATCCTGGAAGATGGTCAGGTTATGCAGAGTATAACTCCACCATCAACTTTAATTTGCAACAGAATATTGACTGCCAAACACAGTTTGAATTACCCTGTTTATTCAGAAACTCAGAAAAATTGAAATGTGACCAGTAAAATTTAGGCTAAAGTATACACTGGTCAGTGCCTTCTGGCTGTGGTCAGTTAAAAGCGAAATGTGGTAACCTTTAAAATGCTAAGCACACCTACCAGTGTGTATCAATATAATTTCTGATACTATAGTGCTGGTTTGGCTGTTTTAGGTGACCTGATCACTCTGAAAAGATGATTTTACTCACCTTTTTTTCCCCACGACGTGCCGGTTTCGCCCCGGGTGGCTTCGCCTCCATGGCTGAGATTATCGACTTTATGATCTCAGCCAATTTAATGCTTTCCCTTATGAGAGGGATCAGTCTGATATGCCATGGATTAGATTCAATGGATTACCAAAAGGCAAGCTACTGGTTTTATCTAAGCTTTTGTCTGTTCCCACAGTGCTTATATTCTCTATTTTACCCACAGCAAATAATGAATGACCTTATGCGCATGCACTGCAAAACGCCACGGTTCGCCAATCACCATCTCCTCATATAGATGCATTGAATCAATGCATCTCTATGGGGAACGTTCAGTGTCTCCATACAAAGTGTGGAGACACTGAATGTCCGTCACACTGTGCAGTGCTGCATGGCGAAGCACCTCTAGTTGCTGTCTGAGTGACTGCCACTAGAGATGTTACTTGGCATCAATGTATACAGTGTTTACATTGAAAAGCCTGCAGGGACAGGCTGTTGTGCCCCTTTAAAGGAACAAGACATTGTTTTCTTTTCCCAAACAATTTAGTTGAAATGACTCCAAAGAGAGCGTGCATGTTTTCTAAAACTGCAGCCTTTGCAAGCCTTTCCCCTTTTTCCCTGACACAGACTTTGTGTTCGTGAATACGCCAATCCGTCTTCTCTGTGCTGTAGCCAAGAGTATGCACGCATACTCTGCTTTCCTATGCTTCTCAATAAGCTGTAATACAGCACACTGAGAAGAGGGAAAAGTAGGCACGGGCTAGCCAGCACACCTGCCACTATATTAGTTCCTGAGAGCATTGCGGAAAAGTAAGAAAACCTCTGGCTTTCTGAGTGACAGCCCTGGATGTGTTTCTGTCCCCAGTTGTTAAAGTGCTCCTTTCTATTGAACTTTAATAAACTGTCACACATGATGGACTCCAGACACATAAAGCACTTCAGCAAGCTATGCATGGAGTGTTCCTTTAAATACATCTGTTGGCCCTCTACAATCTAAGCAAGCAACTTTCCATAAAAATAAGTTGGTGAATTATAAACAAAAACTTAAAGTAGTTCAGGAACAATGCCAATTTCCATCTCATATTAAAATGTAAGCCGTGATAGCTGCACTGCATTGATAGATATGTTGAATGTTGTTCATGTTTAAAAAAAATAAATAATGAAATGCAGAGAAACAAGCAGATGCTTATATGGATGGATAAATCATTTCAAAATATTACAACATACGACTCCCTTTTCCAATCCATCACTGTATTCTGCTATAAGAGAAGACTTTCTACACTGACACTCAGGGTTCCTTGCATGTGCCTCGTTTTAACAAATAACTGTATCTACTGCTGAAAATGTATCTATTCTTCTGGACTTCTGTTTATCTCCATACCTCAAATTACAGCAGATCCTTCACAAAAACCAATAAATAGGTATCGTTCACGTTGTGTGATAATTCTGACCTTATTTTTTAGCAAATCAAGACAAAGTTTCACTGTCTATATGTATAACCCTCAGTTTTCTCCTGTAAATTTAGATTTCTCTAAATTCACAGTGTGCACAGAATTGCTGTTTTCACCCAAATTGAATATGCTAATTAAGCACACCATGTTTTTAGAACATTTTTGTTAACCCATACAAGGCAAACTATGTAGTGAAAAAGGTACAGGGACACCATAGTTAACAGAACAACTGCAGCTTATTGTATTTGTTCTGGTGAGTATAATCAATCACTGCAGGCTATTTACACTGCCATTCAGTGTCTCCACCCTCTGCATGGAGACACTGAACTTTCGTTATAGAGATGCATTGATTCAATGCATTTCTATGAGGAGATGCTGATTAGCCAGGTCTGTGTTTGACTTATGCTGATCTGCCTCCTTGACAGTCATTGTGATTGGCTGAGATCAACACTTCTGATAATATCAGCCAATCAGGCAGATCAGGGGTAGAGCCAGCAGCAACTTGCTGGAGTAAAAGTAAGATTTTGCTATATCTAGGGGGGCAAGTATAGGCCTAGATGGCGGTTTTAACACTATAGGGTCAGGGATACATGTTCATGTTTCTTTAACATTCTAATTTAATAAGTGATGTCTCTGTGTGCTTGTCCCATGCTGGCAGAGCAAATATTACTTGGCATTTTTTTCAGACACTTTCTGTAGCCTGGGAGTAACCTGGAAAATTGGGTTGTTTGCTTTTCTTTAATGCCACCAGTTTACTTCCAAAGGAATAAAACATTCCATATAATCATTGTATAATCACAAATTAGTTTATTCTCTAAGCGCTTAATTGTAGTAAATTAGAACCTGAATTGCAAAAGTATAGCTAGTCTGTGACTGATATTTTCCTAGTCATCTATTTCGGACTACATTTTGCAATTAGTTTTCAATTCAGAACAGTTTACAGTTTTACACTTACTTGGCTTTCTAGGGTGTCTGCCCTCTTTCCAGTCTGCAGGGCTGTGCTAAAGCAGAAGTTCATACTTCTTCTGCATTACCATACCAACTTTGGATAGTATTCATTGGCAGAGATGGTCAGCTGACTCTCTTCAACCAGTGAATCTTGTACAAAGTTGGTAGGTGTTGGTATGTTGCTGCAGAAGTATAAACATCTGCATTGTGTCCTTTTTTCTCTCTCTCTTCATTTTACAGATTTCAATAGAAATTGGCATGTTTATAAACTAACCGGAGTCGGAGAACTAGATCCGGTAAATTCTTGGTAGATTAGCTCAGTGGAGTTAAACGCAAGAGATAGCAATTGCCTAGAGTACCTGCATTGCAAAGACTTCCCATTGAGCTACATTGGGAAGTCTGTGATTGGACAGCCACAGAAAGTCTGGGTGGGGTTAAAAGGGGAAGGCTTGCAAAGACTTCAAAAGAGATCTGCAGCTTTTACACACTGTTTATATATATATATATATATATATATATATATATATATATATATATGTGTGTGTATATATATATGTATGGAAAGGTGGAGCCTGTAGTTGTGGGAGGGGTTTGTCCGGCCTATAAATTCACAGCCCTCCCCTTCCTCTGGGCAGAGACTTCCTGGTTCAGCCCACCCACTGCTCCCTTTATTAAGCATTCACTTGGTTCAGGCCTACCCGAACGTCGGTTTCGGCACACCACAACCGATTTGTACCACCACTACTATAACTCTGCTTATTGTTCCCGACCACAAATAAATATATATATATATATATACACATCCCCAATGACAACAAGCATAATTAGATGCATGCATATATTTATTTTTTATTGATTTTTTTTTTTTTTTTTGTGGAGTGTCCCTTAAAGGTTATCTGTATTTCTATTTTAAGTTATGCTCTTATGCTCCAAGCCCACAGCAACATTGTAGACCTATACAAAATGTTCTGTGATTTCTTTTCCCCAAATTATTATTATTATTATTATTATTATTTTTTATAAAAGCTCAGCATTGCTTATTAAAGAGACACTCTGGGCACCATTAACACTAAAGCTTCTTTTATGGTGCAAAGAGTGTTTTAGTGCAGTCCTTATAGTTTTCGTCAAACATTTTGAAAGTGGTTTAACAGTAAATAGGGCCTCACAGAAGTACACAAAAATATATATTTACGCTGGTATCTATTGCATTAATGGCCGTGGTGCACTGTTTAACTTTAATGGAAAACTCTAAGCACCAGAACTACTACAGCTTACCGCAAACAGCCTGTCCCTGCACCCTCTCCTTTGTAAACACTGCATTTTCAGTAGACTTGTGCAGAGATTTGATTCATTTGTCCTGGAAATAATTTTGCATTAAAAGTCTACTTTTTAGTGTTTACATTAAGCAAGTGTAATATTGACATGTAGGCTATGCCCACAGGAGTAGTTATTAATTTTCCCCCAAGGGTTTCTTAGCAACTGGTGTACACTTCGTCTACAAGTTGATCTAATTACCAGAAGCCATTCCATAACTAGGAGCAATTAAGTGCTACTGGGCTGGCCAGGCCAAATGGAGAGGAGTTTGTGACCCATTATTCCAAATGTGAATTTGGGCTGTGTGTAATCCAAGTTTTTGGGATTATATTTATCATGTCACCCTCAATTTTGGCACTTTTCCCTCTTTCGTAAGAAAATGCATTAAAAAAATAATCACCTTTTGAAGGTCAGAGCTGTTGCTGAAAATCATTCATAGGATGGGTTAGAGCAGGGTTGTCAAACATGCGGCCCCCCAGATGTTGCTGAACTACAACTCCCATGATTCCCTGGCTATCTGTTTCATTGAAAGAATCATGGGAGTTGTAGTTCAGCAACATCTGGGGGGCCGCATGTTTGACAACCCTGGGTTAGAGCGTTTAATAACTAAAATTGGACTACATCAGGCCTACATGGATGTGTTGTTTAATACTCTTCAGAGCAGCACAATACTAAATACTAGACAGGTTGTGACAAATAATGAATCCAATGAGTAAAAAAAATGCTTGAGATATTCTTAGTTGGTAACTGTCTGGACTTGTAGATATATGTAATAAAAAACGAAAATAACCAATAATAGTACAGATTGTCTGGTGCTAGGTATAAGACAAACAACAGAGATATTTGAGCTAGCACTCACATTTAATAGAGCTATAGACTAACTCTGGGTAAAACAGCATACAACAGTACAATCGCCATAGTAATCACCATATGTAGTTCAATGGTTCAGTCTCACAGCATAATGATATTAATTATATATATATATATATATATATATATATATATATATATATAAAATATAAATGCAAACAATAGTGCTTACTGTGTTTAAAATCTATAAACAAAAAATAGATAATTTACTCACATTTGAAAGAGCAGTGGACACCGTTCAAGTATTTTTGCTTGTGTTCTTTTATTTACTTGGTTTTAGCATCAAAGTATATTTTGCATTCACCTTCCCCAGTGTGTTTGACCATTTATTACACTTTTTATGCTTTTAAGTATTTTTATCTTTTTATTGTTTCTGGCATGTCTATTATCTTTGAAAAACCTACTACACCTTATCCCTGACGAAGGATTATCCTCTGGCCAACTAAGGCGGTTACCAACTAAGAATATCTGAAGCATTTTTATATATTTTTTTATGCTTATTGGGCTCATTATTTGGCACGACCTGTATTTAGTATTGTTCTGTTCTTTCAATTTGCATGGGGTTTAAGGTATCCCTTACACTCAGTGTTTGTAGCCTGCACTTTTATATTTATAGTTTTTACATTTTAGCACTTGTCTTATCTTGTGTTTTTAAGTGTATTTCCTCTTCAGTTCAGCTACTGATGCTAGCTGCCATTAGGGCTTTATTTGTAATCGGGAGATCCAAGGTTTTTTTGGGTTTTTTTTCTTTCATTTGTAAAAATATTTTCTTCTATAGGAGAAACAAGTTATTTTCAGTCTTGGGCATTTGTGAAATACTGAGTACTCAAGCAGTAAGATTGCCTCTCCAGATATATGAACTCCCAAAGTGTCAAGATTAGATTTTATACTGTAGCTATACGGTAAGGTTCGATATGAGAACATGTGGAGAATGGACTTACAGTCAGGGACCATTAGTATTTTTGAGGTACGCTTGTAATAGGAACCTTCTATCTATCTGAGATGCTGCCTTGCATCTGATAGAAAATCAAAAATGTGTGATTTATTCTTTTTTTTTTTTAATAAAAAGGTCTTATTTCAATTGTTTGGATTTTTTTTTGTTAAATTAAATACCTCCAGCCATTCACACTGGTGAAGGCTAAGTCTATCAATCAATCTATCAGCAATATCATGATCGGGTGTATTTTTTCCCCACCTTACCATTTCATTCATTGAACACGTGATGTCAGAGGAAGCAGCATTGTGAATGCTCAAGTAGCTTTTCTGTGTGAAAGACTTCTTAGAACTGCAAATCCAAGGATAAAAGGTCAAGAGGATGGCTGGATGCATTTGTACTGTGCTCTAGATTACGTAGTCGTTTATCAGAATGTATTTTGTACAGACACAAGTCTGTGCTACGTAGAGATTGGAAACACAGCTGTTACATCTGTGCATGCAAAAGGCTAACCTCAGCTGGGACTTTGAGCGGCACCTGAGACTCTTTGGAAATCTGTGATTAAAACCGCTAGCACAGATTGCAGAGCTCTGAAATGGCAAACTCTTTAATATATTCTTATTTAGACACTACAAGATACGTGCTCTACATCTGTAACCTCCTTTGTAGTGACCGTTTTGTAATTATCTACATGTACATGTTTTGTCACTTGTTGAACAATCTGTCATCCTAATAATTGTGTAGTCAATAGCTCAATTTCAAAATAAACTGATTTATTTTAGATATATATATAGATTTTTTTTAAATTTAAATTTACTAAAAAAAACAATAGAGCTGAACTATTTCTCAAGAATTAAACTGGAGCCTGCGTAATTCATTGCGAAGTGCTTTGTCCATCAAGTTAAGATTTTTGAGCCAAATACTCATTTAGGTTTATGTTCAGACAGTGTGTCCCCTAAGCATGTTTAGCCAAAAATGCTCACAGAGCACTCACTCCAGCTCATATTGTGTGTTACAACCCTTTAGCGTGTCCTAAGATTCAGGCTTTAGTGCAAATGATTCAGGAGAGGCTGTAGAAACACGTGGGGGATATGGAGTCTTAACTTACTGCATTTATGGATGATGTCTATAATCAAACTGTAAAATAATTACATAAAAGTATGAAATTATTCGATAAATCTCCTTAGATTTGTAATATCATTGGTATAATATCCTGTTATTAAGCTGAACTAAAGGATCCCTTCTGGTTGTCTGCATTGTGTATCATATCCTGCATGCTATGCTATATGCTTACTGGAGGTAAACCAGAGGCTTGTATTGTGTGATAATTAGAAGTAATTCTCCAATCATTAAATCATTACAACCTACAGCTACTAATCCCTCCACTCCTCCGAGAGACTGACAAAGGATCATAATGCTGGAGAGATGCCTTTTGGATCTCCTGAACTAGGCCTTTGTACATTTATTTAATTTCAAAACAAAAATAGCTTTGTTTGATCAACCCTTTCCAACTGTATGGACTTCAAGCTGGGTCCTTACTACTTTATTATATTTCTGTACACTTTGACCTTCATCGGAAGGTTTCTAACTTTCTTTCCTTTTTTGATTTGTTTTTGTTTACTCCACAGAGCTGGTCTTGGATGAAAAAACAAAAAAGGAACTTTTCACAGACACGTTTTGTAGGGTGTGCGGTGCCGTCCTGCAGTTTGAATCCCACAGAATATCACATTATGAGGTATGGAAATCGGTAGAAAAGACTGTAAACGCTTTATCAAGTTTTCTTTCTTTAACCCCTTAAGGACACATGACATGTGTGACATGTCATGATTCCCTTTTATTCCAGAAGTTTGGTCCTTAAGGGGTTAAAGGACCACTATAGGCACCCAGACCACTTCAGCTTAATGAAGTGGTCTGGGTGCCAGGTCCAGCTAGGATTAACCCCTTTTTCTATAAACATAGCAGTTTCAGAGAAACTGCTATGTTTATAATAGGGTTAATCCAGCCTCTAGTGGCTGTCTCATTGACAGCCGCTAGAGGCGCTTCCGCGCTTCTCACTGTGATTTTCACAGTGAGAAGACGCCAGCGTCCATAGGAAAGCATTGAGAATTCTTTCCTATGGACTGGCTAAATGCGCACGCAGCTCGTGCCGCGCATGCGCATTCAGCCGATGACGACAAGGAGGAGGAGGAGGAGGAGTGTCCCCTGCCCGGCGCTGGAAAAAGATGTAAATTTAACCCCTTCCACCCCCTAGAGCCCGGCGGGAGGGGGGCCCTGAGGGTGGGGGCACCCTCAGGGCACTATAGTGCCAGGAAAATGAGTTTGTTTTCCTGGCACTATAGTGGTCCTTTAATACAGCTTGGGAGCCACTTGCTCTTTGAATGCAATAATATTACTTTAAGTTAAATGGCTACCAAGCCAGAAAATAATTACAATGCACATTTCGAAATCTACTTCCTATTTCACTGGCTTCTCACTTTTTTCAACCAATCAGAATGCAAGGAGAAGTGTGTATACATTTTTGTCCCTAGTGCCATAAAAGATAAAGGTACGAGTTTAATATTGGCTTGTAAAATGGAGGTTTCCCCCTGTGCTTTTTTTTTTTTTTTTTGCTGTTCTCTTAACTCTGGATGTTTGGAGTTTTGTATTTAGATAATAAATTAACATTTTTTTCTGTCCTTGTGATGGACAGCTGGCATGTGTGTTCAGCTCATGCTAAAGGTGGGGGTGGGGGTGGGAAGAAGACACTGGTGCAGTATCAGCACTTTACGAAATGCACATTTCAGTTTTAGAGTCCGAAGATGTCAGTTAGACATTGAAACCGAGTCAGATACCAACTATATAGAGATACCAACTATAATTAAAAGTTTTCATTTACGACCAGTTTATATAAATCATAAAGACTGTTTGACTTTCAGGGCAAGAAACATGCACAGAAAGTCCGCCTTTACATTCAGAACATGGACCTTGAAGAAACCCCGTCAAAAAATCAAAACTTAGATCAGCCTGATTCTCAAGTAAGTGCTTAAAGGAGAATCTCACATTCTCATCCTTTATTCACCAGAAAATGGGTCTAATTCTCTTGTTTGGCTTCAGGTGGATGGCAACTCTTCAAATGACAAAAACAAATTCTGCAGTCTTTGCAACATGGTCTTTAGTTCAAAAGTGGTGGCCCAGTCACATTATGTTGGGAAGATCCATGCCAAGAGACTTCGGCAGCTCACTGGAGAATCATTTGAATGGATGCCACAGACCGATCAAGCCAACAGTGCCATGTCACCGAATACACCCCAGGCAGACACAGGTGAAGCAATATTAAATGTTTTGGTCAGCTTTGTTTATTATCTAGCAATTACATGAAATATCTGCTGCTTTTCAAGATGGATTTTTGATGGACAGGGTGGCAAGTATTCTTTGAAGTGTTTATTTCCTATTTTTGTGAGTTTGTGCTAAATGTCACCGGCTTTATTTTAGTTAATTTAATTTTGTTTTTGATTTTTGTTTGTTTGAGGTATTTCTTCCCCCACTTTAAATCCCATGCTTTATTAAGATATATCTCTCTTTTTACACTTACATTGCACAGGGTTATTCTCTAAACTACACTTGAGATTTTTTTCCACATGAACTATTTTTAGAGAGCAGTTTTGTGAACAACCCTTATGTAGTGTCCTTTTTCTGTGTGCAGAACATCCGTGGTTGAGTAATGGTAATTTAGATGTGGTAGAAAACTATAATGGACATGAGGACATCATGATAGGTTAGATATGTGGAGGGTTAGCTCCTACGAAAAGCCATGTTTTCGTGTGTCGCTAGTTGTTTTGGTATGGAAAATAAACAGTGGTCCAGGCACTCAAGGTGAAACCAAAGCATGCAGATTTATTGGAGCAGAAATAAGCAAAGTTTCAACCCAATCAAGGTCTTTTTTTTAAAGCTAGTAGCTTGAAAAAGACCCTGTTTGGGGTAAAATGTTGCTTATTTCTGTTCCAATAAATCTGCATGCTTTGTTTTCACTTGAGTGCCTGGACCACTGTTTATTTTTCATATCTGTTCAGCGAGGCTTAGCCAACCTCAGGCCCGGTTGCACCCTGAGGACCAGGAGAGTGCAGTGTCCTTTATCTCATACTAGTTGTTTTGGTAAACCAAAAAATAGCTGCTGGTTGTATTACTATAGTAGCCCACCCTGGTAAAGCCCATTTTTGGTGATTTTGACTGCGCAGGGCATAAAAATGTTTTTTTGCAGTGTAGAAAATGAACTTTAGGCACTGCACGACCAGCGACATAACATATTTCGGTCAGATGGTATTTTGCCTGATTTCATTGCCATGTAGGGGTTAATATGTGCCCTCAGATGCATGGTGTATTACTGTGTTTTGACAGCTGTCCCACCTGTTGTAGAGTCAAGTCAACTGGAAGCAAGTACAGAACAACACTCCTTGCCTGAAAACGAGATTGATCTAAATGACCCAAACAAGTACTGCAAACTCTGCTGCGCTACTTTCAATAAATCACTGGTAGCCCAGCAACACTACAATGGGAAGAAACATGCAAGGAATGAGGCCCGGAGGAGAATGATGGAAAAAATGGAGAAGGCTGGCGTGGAATCTACTGGTAAGCTGCAGAGAACAAAATGGCTACCAATGTATGGAATGCTAGTTATTTCCATTTAACAGAATCCTCTAAATTAAGACCGAGAGACAACTTGAGAGAAAGCATTATCTTCAAGGTGTTACCAGCAATTTCTGACCCAGGTTGATACAGTGGCGGATCCAGGGGGAGGGTGGGGGGGCAAATGCCCTCCATTCACACGCGCTGCCCTCCATACACACAATGCACTCCTCATACAAACACACTTCACCACACACACATTGCATCTCTCACACACATTGCACCCCTCACACACAAACACACTCATATTATTGCCCCTATCCCCTGTTACAGGCCCTATCCCGGCAGATCCCAGATAAATTGTCAAATGGTTTGACTGCTTATTCTGAGAGGGTGCCACGGAACTCCTGGAATCATAACCACTACAGAGAGCGGTAGTGGTTATTGCGCCTGGATTGTGCCTGTAAATAATCTCCAAGTGCCCCACCTGAGATTCGGTTCTGGATCCACCCCCGGGTTAATATTCAGAAGAAATATATATATCACGTTTAATTGTGAGTTATGTCAGTAACACATTTCGTGCCTGTCTATAGCGCTTAGAACCTAGTTTCCAATGTGCACATGGCAATGCTGCTCGGCTGTGTATACTGTAGCTCTGTAACGTGTGTAAAGACCTGTCAGAGAGGTTCCTGATATGTGTCCTAATGTCCAGAAAAGCTTTTAACTAGGTGTTTTGTATGATGTTTACCTTTTTTTTTGTTGTCAGTGAGCGATGGAAATTATGTGTGTCCAATCTGCAGTATTACTCTTACATCAATAGAGATGTACCAGTCTCACATGCAAGGGAATAAGCATCAGATTAAGTAAGTCATTATTTTTAATTTAATTATTCACAATGTAGCTTATGATAAAATCCGTTCCATGTTTTTTCAGTAATATGAATAATGTGCGACATGGCAATATTTTTTATTATTATTATTGGCATTTATATAGCATCTACAAATTCTGCAGCACTTTACAATATTATTAAGGGGACTTTAACAACAAATGAGATTTTGTCTTCCGTTGGTTCAAAGTGGTGTCCCACGTGTCTGTTCTTTCCATAATGCCGCTCCCTGTTGTGGCTGTAGCCACTCTGACTCCTGCCATTTTACAGGAGAGAGTATTATGTTCAGGGCTGCCATCATGGCATGACAACATATATATATATGTGCATTTTTGGCCCTCAGCTACCTGTACACTGCAGGGAGCTTAGCACACTCGATATACACTTCCCAGCTGCTCTGCCCGTCTTTGTCGCAAGTGCTGCGATTGTCAGAGGGTTACCATGGCAAGGCTTTGCACTGCTTGCGAGAGTTACAGTGCAGAGCAGCTGGGAAGTGTATATGGAGTGTGCTGGACCCCCGGCAGTTTACAGATAGCCGGAGGCCCACACCATGCCACTAGACCAGAATGTGATCTCCCCCCTCCTTGGCCACAGGTAAGACGCAGGGAGGGGGGAGTAAAATAAAATGTATTACAATTAATGTGGAAAAAAATACCTGAAACAAAAGAATCTTGAAAAATTAAATACAGAGGTTCACTTATTTCCACACTCAGCTCCTTAAGTACGCGTGGGTGGATACCGTCAGGCCCCGTAGCTTTATTTACATTAATTTTCTTTAATAGCTGTAGCACCTTGTCTCGAGTTATCCAATCACAAGTTATCGGCAAGTTTTTTGCAGCAATCATTTGCATATCTCTTGCCATAGGGTCATCAATGTATACTGAAGAAAAATAGTTATTTAAAATTTCTGCCATTTCCTGGTCTTCATTAATTAACAGACCCATCTCTGTTCCCAGTGTACCTACACTTTCATTTTTTGTTTTTTTAGTATTGATGTACTTGAAAAAATGTTTAGGGTTGGTTTTGCATTCTTTGGCTATCAATTTCTCATTTTCTAGTTTAGCCACTTTAATTGCCTTTTTGCAAGTATTATTGGGTTCCTTATATCTTATATAGGATGCCTCTGGTTTGTCCAATTTAAATGCTTTAAATGCCCTTTTCTTATTTTTAATCTCTTGTTTTACTTCTCTACTAAGCCAAATTGGTTTTAATTTATTTCTTTTATATTTATTACCCAATGGTACATACTGAGAAATGTACCTTTATAATATTTGAATAGTTTCCATTTTTCCGTGTGTTTTTATCACTAAGTAGTTTATGCCAGTCGATATGTTGTAGGGCTGCCCTAATCTTATTGAAATTGGCTTTTTTTAAATTATACGTTTTAATATACCCCACGTGCTTTTGCTTTTTTGAGTTTATTTCAAAAGTTACCATATTGTGATCACTATTTCCCAAATGCTCCCCTACTTAAATGTTGGTTAAAAGATCAACATTGTTTGTTATAACGAGATCCAGACAAGCATCCTTTCTAGTTGGTGCTTGTACCAGTTGTGACATAAAGGTGTCATTTAACACATTCAAAAACCGGATTCCCCTTGCTGAAGTACTAGTCCCTCTATCCCAATTTATGTTCGGGTAATTAAAATCTCCAATAATTAACGTGTTACCCCGATTTGCAGCTTTCCCAATTTGCGCTAACAGCTGTTCTTCCTCATTGAAATATTTAGAGTAAGTGGTTTATAACATATCCCAAACAATAATTGATTTCCCTTTGTTTGCCCCATAGCATAAAGCACCACAACCTGTCTAGACTTCCTTACCCTCTCAACCCCACCCGTACTAGAGGGGCTGTTCCCACGGCTGTTAGGAGGAACAGCTTCCTGCAGTACAACTACTCCTGAGCTGATGCTCCCACACACACTACATCCTTACACAAACACGCACTCTTCATTCACTACACAAACACACACTCTGCAGTAACTATACACACTACATCCACTACATAAACATACAGTCGGCAGTCACTATATACACCACATCCTTACACACACACACTGTGAAGTCAATATATAGACACTACATCTACTACTAAACACTTTCTGCATTCATTATTCACACACTATGTCGATACACAAACACACTCTGCAGTCAGTACACACACTATATCCACTACACAAACACACAATCTGCATTCACTTTACACACACTGCATCCACTACACAAACACACGCTCTGAATCTAATACACAAAAACACTACATATATTACTTGCACAATCTGCATCCACTATACACACATCCATGACACACACACACCTCATCCACTTTACACATTCTACATCCACTATACACACACCACATTCACTACACACATACACTTCATCCTTGTGGGTGGACTCGGGGGCAGGCCCTCCAGACGGACTACTGTGTGGCCCTATGGGCAGACTCGGTGGCGTGCCCCTGGAACCCAGAACTTGAGCTGTGTCAAGGACCCCAAAATATTTGATGGCAGCCCTGATTATGTTCACCGATTCAGAAAGAAGTGATATAGGGCTATATATTCCTGGCCTGAAATGTTCAGCCTTCATCTTCTTCTCTTCAAGTGCTTGATTTTTTTTCTGCTGCTGAGTTCCACTGTTAAAGGACCACTATAAGCACCCAGACCACTTCAGCTCAATGAAGTGGTCTGGGTGCCAGGTCCATCTAGTGTTAACCCTGCCTGCTGTAATCATAGCATTTTCAGAGAAACTGCTATGTTTCACTGAGTGTTAATCAAGCCTCTACTGGCTGTCTCACTGACAGCCGCTAGAGATGCTTCCGCTCTTCTCACTGTGAAAATCACAGTGAGAAGACGCTGGACGTCTCAATGCTTTCCTATGGACTGTTTGAATGCGCGCGGCTCTTGCCAGGCATGCACATTCAAAGCTGACGTAGGGAGAGGGAGGAGAGTTCCCCAGCGCCAGGGGAGAAAGGTAAGTGTTTAACCCCTTCCTCCCCCATCAGCCCAGCGGGATGGGGGCCATGAGGGTGGGGGGGACCTAGAGACCCTATAGTGCCAGGAAAACTAGTTTGTTTTCCTGGCACTATAGTGGCACTTTAACTCAAACCTGCATTATAGGCTGAGTGTATTTCAACAAACTGAAACAGAAATTAACAGCTACTTAGATTTTATGTATCTTCCCCAAATGTGTTTAAAATGAACTGAAACACATATACACAATGCAGTTTTATGCTATTTATACTCCTGCAAGAGAATTCCGCGCACTCCACACATTAATGTTTCAAATTAGCTAAATGGCATAAGCCTATCCAACTGCAGCTTGGCTTGGTAGTTGAGTTAGTTTTAGCCCGTCAAGACTTAGTTAAAGGAACAAACATATTTACTGTAAAAAGTTTGTGAAGTTTAAAGGAGAAAATATGCAATTTTTAGAACAAGTTTTAATGTTTGTCATTAACCTATTGTGTGTAATAATCATTAGAAATTTATTATGTGCTATTCACGTCCGCTTTGCCACCATATTTACTGTCTAAGAACCATGACCTATACAGCCTATTGTAGTGGATATGGTGCAATGCGCCTTTGGGTGCAATGTTTAAATCAAGTGTATTTAAGAGATGTGACAAAAATTTTGTGTTTCTATGGCACCAAAAGCCACCTCTCCTTAATTAAATGTCATAATGAGGAAGCTCCGTATCATCTATTCTAACATTCACATATAGTGTATCTGTGCAATTTTGTGATATTTCCTATATAGTAACTGTTCTTTTCCTCATAGACAAAATATTAAAAAAAAATAGTTTTTTTGTTTTCTTTGAACTTTTTGAACACTTTATTAAACGATTTTTTTTTCTCTACAGAGAAAACATAGTTGCTAATTTAATGAAGACATCAAATAAATCTTATGATTCTTTTCAAGATGAGTTGGCAGACTACATAAAAGTACAAAAGGCCAGGGGATTGGAGCCTAAAACCCAGTTTAGACAGGAAAAGGATCAGTATGACAGTTGTGATGAAGAGGAATTAGAGGACAGGCCTCCGCTAAGGCATACAAACTCTAAGATGAGCGTCCCCTATAAATATATTGATCACCATTCCATTCCTTATGCACCATTTAATTCATCTCACCCGGATGATCAACGAAAAGCTGCTTGGAAAGCACGCTGGGAAGTTTCCCAATCTCAAAATCTAAACAAGGCCGCATACTTTAAAATGCAGAACACCAGACACAATATTCATGCCTCGTCCAGTCAGGGTTCCAGCGATGACTATAAAGGGTCTTCTTCAGATGATAGTGATAGTTCCCATCATAGAGATAAAAGGCACAAAAGGAAACATCACAAAGAAAGCAAACACAGAACTGGCACCAAAATCAAACAAGAGGAAGAGGCTCCAGAGAGGAAGAAGAGGAGACTTGAGGATGAATATTCTGGAAAAGAGGAGGAGAAACAAGAATGCAAGAAAGTGGAAGTGGAGATAACTGTGGACAAATCTAAACAGAAGAAGGAGAAGAAGAAAAAAGAGGAACAGTCTGACAGAGATAGCAAAAAACACAAGAAAGTAAAGAAAGAGGGGGACCAAAGAACAGAAGAGGAAATCCTCTGGGACGAATCCATACTGGGATTTTGAAACTCACAATCTCAGTAGAGGAGAAGAAAAATTCTCGTAGTGTGTCAAGTCTTGAGCAGAAAAAAAAGAAGTCTAAAAAAATAAATACGTTTATATAAAACTTGCACATTCATGACAAAATCATGAATTTAGTAACCAGGGAAATTTAACTCAACCAGAGGACATTTAACATTTTAGCAGTGTGGTAATCAAGCTGTGAAAGAGGCTTGTACAGAATAGTAGCTGGATCTTGAATTTGTATTGTATTTTGCAAATTTGTCTTATGTAAAATGTTTAATTTATTTTTTTTCTTTTTATTTACTGATATTTCTAGGTGGTAGCTTTTTTTTTTTTTTTTTTCTAGGAAACTAACATTTCCTTACTACACGCGTTATTCTCGAACATGTCGGCTGCTATACAGAAAAAAACGAAATTGTATAAGAATAGTGTAAATCTATATATTTACTCACAAGCAAGTTGAGGACAGTTTCTATTAGTAAAATAACCATCTAGGAGTTGCCATTGTCACACTTTGTGTTTCTTAACCAGTAATTTTTACAGTTTAATTTTTATATTCTGAAAATATGCTATGCTGGTTATTTCTAAAATTTAACACATATTTATATATATATACTCTATTTGTCATTCTTTCCACCATATTGTGTCCTCTCCTACCTCTGTCAAAAATATTTCTTGGCACTCTACAAAGTAAACCTGTTAACACGGTTATAGAGAGCCAAAAAAGAGATTGAAAGCAATTTGAACTGTTCATATATAGGGACCAAAAACGAAATAAACATTAGCAGGGCTATTTACTATAGAGTGGTTTGCTGTGGATGCCAAGTGATTTAAACATTTTAGGTTTAAGTAGCAGAACACAAAGCATATCTGGGTATTTTATTCCAGTTTGCCTACTTTGCCTGAAATATTCACACCTGCAGGCCTCTAAAATTATGTCATGATATGTTAATGCAATGTACCCACCAAAGACTTGAAAATAGTTAACCTTTGTTACAAATGAGGTTGAAAATAGTAAATAACCCGTATGTTTGCTTTTTGGATGTTCTTGTTTTTTTGTTTTTTATATTATTTAAACCACAGATGTGTTAACAAATTTAATACTTATAAGATTCATGTTTAGTTCATAGGCTTCTGGAAAATACAAATGTCTGCTTAAGTGTGAAGCTAGTTCGTTCTGGACTTTTAGTTAGACAGAAAAAGTACAAAGCTGTCTCCTACTAATTTTATCTACTAAATTCATGTCCTCAGATTATGTATTTATTTACTAAACTCCGTATTTTTGATCACTGATTTGCAAAATTTAGGTTAAAATAACTGCTCTGGAAAAAGCGTATTCAGCTCTGCTTAACTTGCAGGCTGACTGTTTAAGCCTGAATTTCAGAATTTAGAGTTTAATGCAGTCATAATTCAGAGTTTAGTGAATAACATTAAATGAATTTCAATCGGGCACGCATACAAATGTAGTTAATATGGTGCTTACATACAAAGGTAGTTTTTGGGATACCAGTCCCCTAGCTCAAAGATTTGTGAAGTCACAATGGCTCAACCAATTATATTGGAATCTGAATAAAAAGAGAAGGGATAAAAAGGGACACTACAAACCCCCTAAATCTTATTAGCTAGTGGTTGTTTTTTTTTTTTGCATTTTACAAAATGTGCTGATTTCACTATAAATTGCAACTTTTATTAATGAGCCTTGTTACACCCTCCTAGTCCCCCTGTCAATCAGACAGCCGGTCCTTTTGTTTCCTGGTTGTTTAGCTCCGTGAAGATGAGGCAACAATTGCCCAGAGCCACCTGCTTTGCAAAGAATTATCATTGAGTTGCATTGGTATGTCTGTGATTGGACATTCACAGAAAGCCTGGGTGGGCTTGTAAAAGCTGCAGACAAGAGATTTGTTTTTAGATATAACCCCAACTGAGAAAAAAATGCATAGAAGGCATTCATCATAGAGGTGTATCTACTAAATAGTTATTTTATTTATATTTTGTGGGTATTTAGGCAGTGCAGTGTCCCTTTAACATTCTTTATGAAAAGTTAAAAACAATAATATAAAGTACATGGCAAAACAACAACTTTAGACACCACTACCTATAAGAAAAAAAAGCATCTTCCGAGAGAGGTAATCATCCATTATATGACTTCAGGTTAAACACAGCAGAATCCATCAAACTAAATTGACTTCGGGGAAAGTAGTAGCACAAACCTTGGAATAGATGTGGCCTGCCATCTGACAGATGTTGTGATGTCCAGCATAATGTCTCACTCTAGACCAGTCTCTACCACTGCAATGGCTCCTTATAGCTTACTGAGCTTACACAAATGTTGTTAATTTAAGCAGTAGTTCATTTTATCATATGGAACAGCTACTAAGTCTCCCACAAACCTTAGCTGGTATTTATTAAAAACACGAGAATAAGGATTGTCTGACCACAAGTTGTCGAGGCAGTTTTGCAAAATATACAGATATTCAAGATTTGCAGCAATCAGGAACTTTCATTAAAGGACCACTATAGAGCCAGGAAAACATACTCGTTTTCCTGGCACTATAGTGCCCTGAGGGCTGGATGGAGAGGAAGGGCTTAAACACTTACCTTTCTCCAGCGCCGGGCTCCCTCGGTGCTGGAGACTCTTCGCCTCCTTTCCCCGTCATTGTCTGAATGCGCATGCGCGCGCATTCAGCCAGTCTCATAGGAAAGCATTCTCAATGCTTTCCTATGAACGCTGGCGTCTTCTCACTGTGAAAATCACAGTGAGAAGCGCAGAAACACCTCTAGCGGCTGTCAATGAGACAGCCAATAGAGGCTGGATTAACCCTAAAGTAAACATAGCAGAAAGGGTTAATCCTAGATGGACCTGGCACCCAGACCACTTCATTAAGCTGAAGTTGTCTGGGTGCCTATAGTGGTCCTTTAATACATTATTGCCTTATATGATAGACTTCAGCTACAGCATGTGGTGTCCTGTTTAAGCGGCACAGTCACCCTATATTAAAAATCTAATCTTTATGAAATACTCATTATGACTGTGATGAAATGTCAATGAAATATACTGAGACAGAGTAGGTACTTCTTTGTTTCTTTATTTCTCCTCCACCTGCCACAAGGCAGAGTCCACATGTCAAGAACTGCAGCCATCGTCATTGACGGCTGCAGGGAATTTTACTGTGTCTATGAAGGGTCTTGTTGGATCCACCGAAGACCTCAATGCTGTACAGCAGTGATGACGGCTACACCAGGAGTTCAAGAGAAGCAGCACAACAAAGATGATGGAGCCCCTGAGAGACAGGTCTAGGTATTTAATCTCGCCCTTACCTGCCCCCCAACCCTGGCTGCTAGTGGCAATGTCAAGCCCCCAGACAGTGATAATCCCACTTTAATGGTACTAGTGGATAAGCCTTTGTAATACCATCCTTGAGAAGCACTGATTAAAACTGAAGATTGATTTCCTGTAAGACTACTTGGTCAGTAATGTTACTTATGAGCATGAACTAGGCATTCGCCTAGGGCGCCGGCCTGTCTGGGGCCACAGCACTGGGGGGAGCAGCTCTTGAGCTGCCCCCAGCGCCGGGCTGATCCTCAAGGTGCCCGATGGTGGGGGTGCCGAGAGGATCCCTGTCACAGGGTAGGCCAGGAGGTGGCCATCTGGCCATGTCAGGGCACCCCCGAACCAGGCACCTGCTTACCTTGATGACCGGTGCCTGCTCTGCCAAAAAATGCCGGTGCCCGGACGAGAAGGGACGGAGCAGGAAGACGGTGAGGGAGGCTGTTCTTGTAGCCTCTCACTCCTCCCTCGCGCATCCTCTGTAATGCCGGGAGCCGGAATATGACATAATTCCAGCCCTGGCATACTAAACGGCACGCTGGAGGAGTGAGAGGCTGCCCTCACACCGTGTGTGTGTGTTTGTCAGTGAGTATGTCTGTCAGTGAGTGTCTGTGTGTGTATGTATGTCAGTAAGTGTCTGTGAGTGAGTGTATGTATGTCAGTCAGTGAGTGTGTGTGTGTGTCCGTCAGTGAGTTAACGACATGAGGGGCGGCAAAATGTATCTTTGCCTAGGGCGGCAGATATCTTTGCACCGGCCCTGCTTATGAGGAATAAGACAGTGACTGATTTGCAAGCCCAAATGAAGGGTCAATAACATTGTCAACAGACCACTTTGGTCCATGCCATGAAAGGATTGGAACACCACGGAAAGTCTGGGCTAGATCTGCAAGCCAATATTTAATTTACCCCCAAAGAAAACATGCAAAACAAAATACATGCATATTTTCTTTTATCTAAACTAGATTATTTATAGAGTGTTCCTTTAACAGCAAGCCCTAAATGTTGCCATGGCTAAAGGTAACCAAGGATAAAATCATTATAATGGCGTATTATATTGAGCAATGCATAGCAGCTTCAGCTCTCTCTCCTGAGCGAAGCCCTGCAGTGCAGGTCTAGCCCATTGGCTGAGACAATAGTTTGGAGTGCTTCTTGAAGAGAGGGGGATACTTGATGATCCTTTACTTGATTTGTAACTCTTTATAATGTAATGAGAGCAAAGATTTAAAGAAAAATTCCAAGTATCATAACCACTATATACCACTGTTGATATTATGGAGTGCCCTGGCTCCCTTCCAGATCAAGTAATGAAACTGTTTAGGAATGTTTGACAATTTACCTGGGTCCCCTAGACACCCTCAGTACATCGTGCTTTCCCTGTAGGAGGCAGATGTCTCCTCTGAGCTAAGGACGGCCAAATAGAGGGTGACAATCATTGGCTGTGAGCAGTCGGCTGACGTCCATTGAGAGCAGCCCTGCATGGCCCTGCTTAGCTCATTGCAGGAGAACCATAAGCAGGATTCGGGGGAACCCAGGTAAGTTGTCAAAATGTTTTTAAATGTCTTACTCTGGGAGGGCACCACAGTGGGCTGCAGTGGTGTTCCTTTAATTCTTATAGGGACCATGGATGTGTGTTCCTGCTACAAATTAAATTGCACGATCCTAAATCCACCTCATTATTTGATTAATGTTACAGCATAAATAAATAAGATCATCTTTTCCTTGTTCAAAATATTTTTTCCTAGATGTTTATTTGTATTTGGATAAATTGATCATTTGCATTGAGTATTAAACGCTTTTAAACATAATATTTTAATTTTGTTAAAAGTTTTAACAAAATCTATTGTAAGGACTCCTGACAATTAGGGATGACATAACCTTACCCTAACTGACTCCTGACTTAGTTCTTTCATTTACTGTTTCCACTATAAGAGGTTATCCATACAGGAGTTAACACTTCAATCTGAAAACAGCTTTTTGGTTATTTATTTGTATTTTATACAAATCCACTAGCCAGAGATATCTGTGGCTATCTTGTCTTTTCTGTTGAGTGAGAGGGAATAAGTGAGCCATTAAATATATTCTGCAATACTACATTATATGTATCTATATTTGTAGATTATACTTTTTAAAGTATATGATATATAATTTCCTCAAATGTTTGTCAATATTTTAGAATCCAGACAAAATTTGCAGAGCATCTGCACTTGAGTATAGAAGTTACCAGAAAATAATGTACATTGCGAGGATGTTACAAATCTTTGTGGGGTTACATGCCAACCACATATATAACCAACTCCTATATACTACGTGCTTCCATACGTTCTGTCGTGGATCAGCACTTCACTAACCCACATCCTTTTACAAGAATTAATTGTAGTTTATTTATCTGTAACGGTCTAGTAAACTTGCCCGTAGCAAATGTTTTGTGTTCAGGCGCTACAGGGACGTTCCGGACCCCTAAAGCACTTTAGCTTGCTGCAATACTTTGTGTGAAGATGGTGTTCTTTTTTTGTTTTGTTTTTATATAACACATTAACTTTGTTAAACACCACCCTCCACCTTCCCCGCCTGTCAATCAGACAATTGGTTTTGTTACTTCCTGGTTGTTTAGCTCAGTGGAACTAAATTCAATAGGCAGCAATTGTAGATTATGCTAACATAGTGTACCTATAAAATTAATTTTAATAATGACAAGAGGCGAGTATTTTGCATAACTTTCTTTACTTATGCCTCCAGCAGCACAAGTCAATCAAGAAACTTTAAACCAATCAGAAACAAGCATAACATCCATATAAAGACCTGTCAGACATATCACTTACTAACGGCGAAATGTGCGTTGGGACATTACTTAGTATAGTGTTGGCTTAAACGAAGAGGGAAGACATGCCTTAACACTATTTGACAATACTACCCATACTTTATTTATTTTATTCCTCTTTTTATTTCATTATTATTATTTCTTCTTTTTTTAATTTTTCGGTCAATTCACCTACTTTATTTTGATTGCTAACTGCATTTAGAACCACTTACTTTACTGAGGGCACCCCTTCGCATTTTTTTAAGGTGTGCCCTCGAAGGCAGAGCAGGGAAGCTAGTTTATTATTAGCTTACTTTTCCTCATTAATTTTTTCGATCTTCTGCAGGGCTTTCTATTTGCGCAACCACTATATCTCCTTATCCATTTTTGTCTCCTCTCCTCTGGCCAATTAGACATGCTACAAATGAAACTTCTATCTTTTAAGTTACACTATTTTGTAGCCAATTTTAAATTCACAGTTTGCAGTACATGATCTAAATTTCCAACTATCACTGATTTTCAGTGAGATTATATTGGATTTTTATTTTTATTTTCATTATTATTTTTTCCATTGAACTATTATTATTAGCTTTTCAATTATATAAATATTTCTTATACTTTCCTTATGTGTTTAGAGAATTTATTTCTCATATTAGAGGCAGTACATATACTCAATCTGCTACCTTTTATTATGTAAAAGCACTCCAATTGCGACCTAGCACTTTCACTAACATTTTTTATAAATATATACCTTATTAAAAGTTATGTTTTATTTGGGTTACTCGTTGCACAGAAGGGCTTACCTCCTAAACGGTTTACTCTTTTGTATCTCATTTCTTTATTACAGTTTATTCATTCTGGAAGTTTCCCCTACTTTAAGAGTAACCTTTCTCCATGGAAGGTTTCCTTATTTTTATATCGTGTCAGAGTGATAGATCCGAGTTATCTGGCCAATCTCGAAGGAAACAAAGAACTAAGTATATGTCCCACAAACGATTATACTTCGGAGCTGGGGGTCTGGATAGTTTGATCGCAATAAGCAACATATCAAAGGATCCTGCCCGACCGGTATGCCTCAAATTGGAACGTATCACATTAATGGAACAATATGACCAATCTGCAGAAAAAAGGTGTGATAATAAATTTAGCACTGTGGTGATAGGTGCTGTAAAAGGATTGTAGTTCCTCTCCATACACCAGCGATTCCAAGTATTCTGAGCTATGGCCAACAGTTCCGGGAACCACACTTGTTTCCTCCACAATGGCGTGATGAGTATCATCGAAGTCCTGGTTATGCGAAGACGATGGAGGACTCTCGCCAACATCGGAAATGGTAGGAACATATACGCTCCTAGCGGTGTCCATGTTTGTAGAAACGCATGTATCGCCTCGCACTGGGGATCTGGGAGCCAGCTGTAGTACCTCCGCAGTTATGTGTTCGTCCGTGACACAAAAAGATCTATGTGTAGCGGTCACCTGTTCGTTCTCACCATGGCGAAAACCGATGCGTCTAGCCGCCAGTCGCTGCTGTCTAGCCAGTGGTGAGAAAACCAGTCCGCAGTGAGGTTGTTGATCCCTGGTAGGTACTCTGCTTTGATTAAAATGTTGCGGGAAAGATAAAAACTGCAAAAGTCGCTCGTCGCCTCTTTCAGGTCACACGATCGGGCTCCGTCCAAGTGAGATAGTGTCCATGCGTAGGAGTATGCAGCAATTCGACATGTTCTTGGCCAGACTCCAGATCACAAAAGATCCCGCAATCAGTTCCAGGCAGTTGATATGGGGATACGTCTCCTCCTCCGACCACAGACCTCCTGTGGAGGTTAGTGTGCAGTGGGCTCTCCAGCCCCAGAGGCTGGCATCCGATTCCATGATGAAATCCGGATTCGATCCGATGATGGCCCTGCCGTTCGAGGCTTCCATGTGAAGGAGCCACCAGCGAAGTTCCGTCCGCATCTCTGCGGAGACTGGTACCCAGTGGTCGTATGGTACGAGTGTCCGAATCGTAGGTAGTGAGCCTTCAGGTGTTGCATGGCCCGATAATGAAGCGGTCCCCTGGATGGAAGACTAGAGCAGTCCGACCACTCTGGCGAGGAGGTGCAGAGGGATGGTTTCTTTCTAGAGTACATGTCATATCTGCTTTCGAATCGCACTTATTTTTGAGGTGGGAAGGCATAAGACACATGTCCGATGAATTGCATCACTCGGAAAGGAGATAGTGCCGATTTCTCTCTGTTCACTATAAAGCCCAACGATTCTAGAAACAGAACTATAAACCTCATTTGAGATTGCAAACAATTATGTCGTCCAGATAGATGAGACAGCGGATTCCCTTTGCTCCCATTTGCACCATGACTGGCTTCAGAAGCTTTGTAAAGCACCATGGGACAGAGTTGAGTCCGAACGGAAGACATATGAATTGGTATGGTCGATCTTTCCAAGTGAGTCGAAGGAATGGATGACTCACATGTGCAATGGGGACGGACAGGTACGGTTATACGTGACTGACAAGGTAATGAAAGAAGTATGCTCACCTGAGTTGAAACGTCTACGTCCTCGGCCACCTCTAACACAAAAGGATCCCCTTGTGAAGGCAGCTCATGATAACGGGAAGAAGGTTTGTGGTGTTTGATTTCTGGGGCCTGTGGACCAGAAGTGGCTGGTGGCTCGGCACCTCCGCTGACCAGCCCTGCCAAAAAACCCTCTTCTCAGTGTAGGATTGCTGAAAACTTGTTTTATGGATGTTTGGGCCTTATTCAGGGTAGTAAACAAATTCACATGCTTCTAAAGTTATGCAATAAATGTTCCTTCTTTCCAAACTCCAACAGTTTGGAGTCCATTTTCAGTAGGGCCGCCTTGCGTTGTTCTGCGCATAACGCCACGTTTGTGTTGCCCAGCATGCATATGGCCGTTGCACCCATTCTCTCATGTCATGTGCATCCAAAGGAGTGCCCTGGGTGAGGGCCAGGCTCGCAAAGTATAGAATTTTTGCCAGAGGACTGAGCATATCCAGATGCTTATCTTGGGCAGCTTTAAGCCCTTTCTCTATACCCTTTTGCGGGTCTCATCTAAAAGGGAGGTCACCCCTGTAGTATGGTTGCCACTGAAGGGCCAGTGCAAGGCTCACTTGGGGGTCACCCAGCATTAGGGGGGTCACCCCTGTCAGTCCAGTGATTAATAACACCAATGTATGCCCTTGTTTGAATGGGGGTCATCCCAGTGGTGAGGGGGGTCACCCCTAGTAGAAATACTCCTCTTGGAGTGTATAAGCTTAATTGGACATATGTATTATAAAAGATCAATACATGATCAGGTCTGGCATCAATTATAAACTGGCAGTACTAGAATAGTACACATATATAGTTACATAGTTACATAGCTGAAAAGAGACTTGCGTCCATCAAGTTCAGCCTTCCTCACATATGTTTTTGCTGTTGATCCAAAAGAAGGCAAAAAAACTAGTCTGAAGCGCTTCCAATTTTGACACAAACTAGGAAAAAATTTCTTCTTGACCCCAAAATAACAGTCAGATGTCTGCTTGGATCAAGCAGCTATTACCCCACTAATTAGAAATTATATCCCTGTATGTTATGTTTTTGTAAGTATTTATCCAATTGCAGTTTAAACATCTGTAATCTCTCTGACAAAACCACCTCTTCAGGCAGAGAATTCCATATCCTTATTGCTCTTACTGTAAAAAAACCTTTTCTTTGCCTTAGATGAAATCTCCTTTCTTCCAGCCTAAATGTGTGACCTCGTGTCCTATGTATAGCCCTGTTTATGAATAGATTTCCAGATAAAGGTTCATACTTGCCCCAAATATATTTGTATAAAGTTATCATATCCCCTCTCAGGCGCCTTTTTTCCAAACTAAACAGATTTTATTTTTTTAACCTTTCTTCAAAACAAAAATGCTCCATTCCTTTTATCAATTTTGTAGCTCGACTCTGGACTTTTTCTAGTGCCATGATATCTTTCTTTAGAACAGGCGCCCAAAATTGCACAGCATATTCAAGGTGTGGTCTTACCGGCAATTTATAAAGAGGCAAAATTATATTTTCATCCCGAGAATTTATGCCCCTATTTATACATGACAAAACCTTACTGGCCTTAGCAACTGCAGATTGACAGTGCATATTGCTGCCTAATTTGTTGTCTATAACAATTCCCAAATCCTTCCCGTGTGTGGTTATCCCTAATTCACTACCATTTAGTGTGTGAGCTGCTTGTGCATTCTTAACCCCAAAGTGCATAACTTTGCATTTCTCTACTAGTGATGTCCCGAACGGTTCGCCGAACGGTTCACCGCGGACGGCGAACATATGCAGTAAACTTTGACCCTGTACCTCACAGTCAGCAGACACATTCCAGCCAATCAGCAGCAGACCCTCCATCCCAGACTCTCCCAACTCCTGGACAGCATCCATTTTACATTAATTGTGAAGCTGCATTCTTAGTTAGCTGTCCAGGAGGTGGGAGGGTCTGGGAGGGAGGGTCTGCTGCTGATTGGCTGGAACATGTCTGCTGACTGTGAGGTACAGGGTCAAAGTTTACCGCATGTGTTCGCCGTCCGTGGCGAACCGTTCGGGACATCACTATTCTCTACGTTAAATTTAATCTGCCATTTTAGTGCCTAGTCCCCCAATTTATCCAAATCCCTCTGCAGCAAAGCAATATCCTGCTCACATTTTATTACTTTACAAAGTTTTGTGTCATCTGCAAACACTGATACATGGCTTTCAATGCCTATTTCAAGATCATTTATAAATATGTTAAATAGAAGTGGTCCCAAAACAGAACCCTGAGGGACACCACTTACCACTTTTGTCCAGCCTGAATGCAATTAGGTTAGTTTGACATGACCTATGTTTCATAAAACCATCCTGATTATTGCTAATAACAAAGTTCTTCCCAATGAATTCCTGAATATTATCCCTTAATAGCCCTTCAAATATCTTCCCAGTTACAGAAGTTAAGCTCACAGGTCTATAATTTCCAGGCATATATGCAGGAGTAAACCACACTGTTTAATAGGTAAATTGTTCAGGTAATGAGAATCACAATCTGGTTTGAAAAAAAATGGCCAACGTGAATCTCGCGGTAATGTGAGATTTAAGATGGTCGATGTTCGCGCACAAATGTAGCTGGAGCGGCCCACCGGTATAGAAACAGTCCCCCACTCTCCCCCCACCCACAGTACCCTACCTGCTAGCCTCAGACCCTGTCAACAGCAGCGTGATCACATTGAAAAGGCCGCGATGCGCGACAGGAGAGACAGGGTAGTAAAATGAAGGAACAGCAGAGTGTGAAAAAAATGGTAAAAAACAATAATTGACTAACAAATGAGGGTAAGACAGGTGGAAGAGAGAGCGGGGGGATCAGAATAAGAATCAAAATAATCAAGTGCAATCCAACACAATAGACAATGTCAGTGAGCTGTGAACAAATTACTCTGACCAGTGCCTGTCTGGGCTTTATATGAATGTGATGCTTGTTTCTGATTGGTTTAAAACATTTTTGATTGACTTGTGCTGCTGAAGGCATACGTAAAGAAAGTTATGCGAAATTGGATATCATGTAATAATGTAATAAAATTGCCAATAGCATCTGCCTTGCAAAGACTTCTCATTGAGCTGCATTGGGAAGTCTGTGATTGATTGGACAGGTACAGAAAGTCTGGGATGAAATAGATGTGAGGAGTTAGCAAAGGCAATAGACAAGAGAACTGCAGGTTGTGCAAGCTGTTTTTAGATATATACCCCAATGAAAAAAAAAATCATAATTAAATACATGCATGTTTTCATTTGGGATATAACTACTAAACAGTTTTTGTTTTTTATTATTATTATTATTTGAGCGGTGGAGTCTCCCTTTAAATGAGTAAAAAAAATCTTAGACAGAAATTATTTAGTATATTTTTTTGTTTGTTTTAATGAATTTGATGATAAGTTTTTCTTTTTTTCAAGGATAATTTTTTAAGTATTTTACCACCACCACCACCACCACCACCACCACCACCACAGGCTCCTGAATATTAAAGTTCCATCACAAATAATGCCTGCTTTCTCCTTTGAGTTACAGTGAGTCTGTGAGCATGCGCATCCACGGGGCTCAGTTTACCTCTGTATCCTTGTTGCAAGGACATGCACATCCAAGTGTGCACGCATGCCTCTCACAAAATCAGTCTTCTCAATGAGAAGCATCTGATTGGTCACACGAAGTGAAAAAAGGGAGGGACAGAAAAGGTTGCTGACAAGGGATCTGCATCTTTCACAAGCTATTGTTAGATATGACTCCAATGATAGAAAATGTATTTAGATATATGCATGATGTCATTGTGGGTCTATCTACTAAATAGTCATTTTCCTCTTAATCGGTAATCTCTTTAAATTTTTGTTTTGGTTTTTACACTTTGTCTATACAACAAATATAGTATAAATATTTGATTTTGGTCTTTTTTAGTCAATATGTTACTTCTTGCCATATCACTACTCCTCGTCATATATTTATATTATTGTTTTTTACAAATACTAGGGTAATATGTTACTGGCTGACCTATGATTGCCCAACGATACTGCCAGAGATTGGGTTTTATGGGGTTAAACTCTCTATGTGCAATATTTCATAGTGAAATGATGTACATATAAACACCGAGCAGCATAACCATTTCAAATTACTGAAGTGGTCATGGTGGTTGGAGTAATCATTTAAAGTGTTTCATGTTACACATGGGTATAGGAGTAGGTGGACCAGTGAGTCCTAGGGCAGCACAAAACCAGGATACACCACTGCCCATGTTAACATTAGTGTAGGATCCACCGAATTTAGGGTACTGTGGCGTAGTGGTGGAACTGAATCCCCATATTTGTTTACTGAGACAGGTGATTTTAAGTAGCCTTGTAAAATATAACATTGTATTTCTGTGTGTGTGCTGTTCCTTAATATGTATTTTGTACAAAGGTTTATTTACAATAATCCCTCCACCTAACAGTTAATGTTTTGAATTTTGGCTCACAATAAGGTGGTTTCTTACCACACTAAAACACTTCCTCAGTAAGGCTTTCTAAGCAGGAGATCGTGAGCACCTGCATCTGCCCCCATCCATTCAGATCCGAGTTAGGTAAACCACAGATACCGGGTGATAGGACCCTCACACACAATGCATTTACACAGAAACAGCAATAGATATATTCCTATATTGCTGTATGTCTTCTTATGTCTTTTATTTATATAGTCTCTTGAAAATCTACATTCATTACAAATATGTATTTGTAGTGTCCAATACCTGTTTTTATTGGATTTACAAACTTTTGATAAAAGGAGTATGGAAAAAAATATATAGAAAAATACTAAATTAACATTTATATGATTTACACATCTCACACACAATGAACTTTGAAATATTCCTGCAGTGACTACATGAAGCCTAAGTCCACGGAAGTCTTTTAAAGGGACACTGTAGGCACTATAACAATTTAATCTACCTCAGTTAGTTCTAGTACCTGGAGTCCCCTGGCACTCTCCCCCCACTCAGGGTTTAACCGTTTTCTAGCAGTTGAACATTGAATGAGGGTCCCTGGTTACCCACAACTCTGCATGTACTGGAGATATCGCTATGGCTCAAAAGTTAGAAGAGGTCAGCACTAATAATAATAAAAAGTGGGTAGGCAGCGGCCTGGCAGAGGGTAACCCTCTAACCCTCTTGCTTACTAGTAAGAAACAACAACAAGAGTAATGCAAGGCTGCGCCAAAATATTTTAATATGGACTATGGGTAATAAAACAAGTATATAGGTAAAATATATAAAGATAAAGCATATATATGAAATTAGTGCATATACATAAGTCCAAGATAGTTTTAAAATTGCACTCTGGTGGTTAGCGTCTTTTAAGGTGCTTTTGGTGGTGGGCTTTTTATTTTTTTTTTTTTTTTTTTTTACATAGAACACATGTGGGGCAATGGCCACACTTCAACATAGAAGCATTGATTCCAATGATAGAATGCACTTCTAGTGTCTTCTGGTCTGACAGCCACTAGAGGAGTGGTTTCAGACAAATATAAATATTCCTGTTTCTCAGTAATGGCAATGCTTTGACATTATCTGGAAAAATGGACAGCATGTGCACTCAAACCACTTCCTGTTAAAGAATCCTAAAACCGCTATCATTATATATCCTCTTAGTATGAGATGGTTTATTACGGAGAAAGAAAATGGAAACATGTTAAAGGCTGAGAACTGCATTTAAACTTGATCTGTGTATTTAAAGGCTGAGCTGCCATGTTTTTTTTTTTTTCAATGGAAAATAAAACTTTTATCAACATTTGTCAATTTGTACAATCATCTCTCCTCTTACTCGGTAACTTTTTTTTATTTCTACATAACACTTTATGTTTTCTATTTTACTTATACTTGTATAGTTTAGTTCAGAATTTTGTTGCATCCATGCACATATATATTATGAAGCAAATAGGTAGCACTCTCAGGACTTCATCAAAGTGGATGTATTTATTATACTCACATGATATATTTAGCAAAGTTTTGGCCACTTTAGGCCTTTTTCAATATAAGAAGTGGCTGAAACATTGATCTATTTTTCAATATATGCATATATTTTATTGCACTAAGGCATGATTACGATTTACATACAACAGAAAAGAAGAGTGCTGGGTGGGATCATTAAATATATATATATGTATTCTTTTTCACTTGTATAGTCTATGCGTGCAATTTAAGCTATGTATTAAATTACTATTAAAATTCTCCGTTGCTCGTTCAATGAGTCAGAGCCATAAGGTTACCATGGCAATGATTACACTCATTGAATCACTGCTGGCAAGTAGAAGCATGTATTGTGATCTGCACCTACCTATGCTCCTCCACTGGACCACCAGGGATCATGCCATCACCATCCATGGAGCAACCAGGGATCCTGCCATCACCACACACTGGACCACCAGGGATCCTGCCATCACCACCCACTGAACCACCAGGGATCCCGCCATCACCACAAACCTCATGCGGCCCAAGTTCTGCCTTATCCTAGTGAGTGATGTCAGTAAAGCAGGATTGGCCTGCAGGGAGGATTTGGACTTAGCGTGGGGTCACAGAGAGCTTTTCCTTTATTAATATTTAATGGGGGGTCCATGCCAACAACAGTTGCTACAACCAAACACATTGTTTCTTTAAAACACTCCCCTTTAACTGGAATATATTAACATTAGATACATTTCTACTCACTGTTCTTGAATGGAACACCACTTGCTGACTTAACTGTTAAATATTATTTTCCTTATATATTTTGACAATTACATGAATGTCATTTATCTGTTTGAATGATTCTGTTACATTACAACAAATTATTAAATAATAACCAAAACTATGTAATTATTATGTTAACATTTGTTGTTTTTCATGGGTAAGAAATTTGGTGTCTACATTTAAAATAGCAGAACAGTTATTAGAATAAGGACAGCGCATGCAACCAGTAATTGGGTTTGAATATTGGTCAATAGAGATCATCAGAAATGAGTAATGGCAATTTGAAATGGTTGATATTGCCAATGACTTGAGAATAAGGTTTGGGTGCCATCTCTCCTCAGATTCCCTCCACTGTTTTGGAATGAAGATATCTACCAGAAGACAGCTCTCATCTCCAGAATTGGCTGCCCCCTAATGATTGGAAATCAGAATCTGTGTGGGCCACACCTAATGAGAGGTATCCTAAATTTCAACACTCCTATATTCAATTTCATGTATTTGAATTGATTTTTCAGATAATGGGATTCAGAGGGATCCCAAGCTTCCAAACCGTGGCAACGCAACATCTTGAGGAAAGCTGGGGCAATTGTCTATCCTCCCTGACAGTCACTGCAGAAGAGAATACTCAGCAGCTGTTGACTTAGTGTCCTTCGATGTGTCCTTCTAGACAGTTGATCATTGTGCAGAATAATATATTTTTTTTAATGGAAAATACAAATAGTTCAAAATTAAAACAAGGAAAAAGTGCATGTTTGTCTAAATCCAGTGTGATTAAATTAAGGCTTTGAAGAATAATAACACATATTAGGGCGGTCACGAGGTCTATTCTTTTCATACGTTTCATGGATTGGACTGTAAACATTTTTACAGACTATATGGTAACCCTAATCTTGTCAGGTGGGTCTGAGATATTAATATAGAAACAGAAATTGAGCAGAAAGAGAAGATTTATGAACTGGTCAGTTCTGCATATATCATCTGCTATCTAAATACCACAAGAATAATTTTTATGGAAATATATGTTAAAGCCACGTATTCATCTAGTAACCACCAACCCACACACAGAGAGAAGGTGGGACGAGGGGTGAAGAGGATGGGGGCAGATGGATGGGCATTCATTGAAGCTTTCGCTGGTCCCCATCGGTAATTTGTAACTTCCCTGGTAAATAAATATAATTCAAGCTAAAATGAATGGTATACTATTTTCAGAATTATTATATATCTTTATTACAGTTATGATTTAATGATTAATTATTTTATTATTTATTCTTTTTTTTTTTTTTTTCAAACCATTAGTGATAATAAATTTTACATTTAAAAAGTACATTTTCTCATTTTGTATTGTATTGTTTTGTTTTTATTATTTTGTAGTTTTGGTTAGGTTTTTCTTTATTGTAGACTGGGGTTGGATTTACACTTGATAGTGTATTAGATAGTATATTGTCTATGTCGGAAATTAGGTAATTTAAGCATTAAGATTTTTAATATGTAAGACCTTTAGGCGTACTACTTGTATTATTGATGTGTGCCTATCTAAGATTTTTTATTTATTTTAAAGGACACTCTATCTATCTATCTATCTATCTATCTATATCCAATGTTAGATAGATAGATAGATAGATAGATGCATAGATAGATAGATAGATGCATAGATAGATAGATAGATAGATATTAAGATAGATAGATATTAAGATAGATAGATATTAAGATAGATAGATAGATAGATAGATGGCTATATAGATAGATAGATAGATGGCTATATAGATAGATAGATAGATGGCTATATAGATAGTTAGATAGATAGATGGCTATATAGATAGTTAGATAGATAGATGGATGGATAGATAGATAGATAGATAGACAGATAGATAGATATATAGATAGATAGATTGATAGATCATGTTTAATTTTTTTTCACTTGAAAGCCAAATTCAAAATAGCAGGCAAAAATGTGATTTGGGGAATATTCTCTTGCACTTACAGCTTGGCTGTTTTTTTGTGTTTTTTTGTGTTTTTTTTGTGTTTTTTTTTTTTTTTAAATATAATTAGCTAGAATTTAAGGTTTAGTAAGTACACCCCTATAAGTAAGGTGACTTCTTAATACAGGATTCAATCAGAAATATATGCTTATATTATCTTTGATGCCATAAGTTGAATTCATATTTGCTTATACATGTGACGTAAGAAACAGTTCTAAGTGGCACAATCAATCACACCTGCTCACATCTGTAAAGGAAGGTTATTACATTTAACCCTTTGAGCGCCAGAGATTTTACCAGCACATTGAAAAGCAATGTATGTGACACATAGCTGGCAGTCAAAGGTTAAGGGAAGAGGAAGCAGGGACAGGTAGTTTAATTACTAAACAATGGCGATAGAAATAAGATAGCATGGTGTAATTCAAAGTGTGGTATGCTGAGGAGGAATGCGTTTAAATTGCTATAAAGTGAGCAAATCCTGTACAGAATGAGAATATTGTGCACATAATTCAACGCTAACAGGGTTATTCAATAAACTGAGAATTCAAAGTGAGTTTCAAATTTAAGTCCAAAATAGCCAAATTGCTTTCAATTAAGCTATTCTGGCCTTAGATTTGAAATTCACTTTGAATTCTCATTTTAGTACGTAACCATGCCAGTAACACAATGCTCTGCTATAAATTAAAGAAAATAAGTCATTTTGGCGTGTTTTGAATTTCTTGCTAAAATAAATGCATTAAGAATAAAATAAATAAAAAATGAAAAACTTAAAAATTTACTGTCTGCTAGCAAGTTGAAGAACTGCACTCCTCTACGTAGCAACAGATTGTTTTTGCAACATTACTTGCCAGGACACTGTTTCAATTCAATCACGATCCTTAAATTCTATTGCACACACAAGAATGCACCATGATGTTTTTATAAAGAATATTGAGAGACGGCTGACTTCAGTGAGATCATTTACAAATCTTCTTGTGCATGCACATTGAGACATGCTAGCCATTTGCTGTGAACGGCACAAGAATATGTTGTTGCAGAATGGCTTACAATCATTTATACCGACTTGCTATTTGATTTTTTTGCAATGCTATAAATAAGATAAAGTTGACCTTATTTATATTTGTATTGTCAGCCTTAATAAAGATTCTAATTTTCATTTTAAGTAAGTAAGTATCAAGGACAGCTTTAATTGCACTAATATGTCCGCTTCCCAAAATGTATGAGCTATAATGCACATAACTTTATTTTGAAAATAAATTCCAATTTCCAATTATTATTGAAATAATATATAATGAAAGAATCACCCAGGTTAATTGTCAGAATTGTTTATTCTTTAATAAAATTTGATAGAGTATGTCCTGATTCAGTATCGGGACTTTTTTGTTTGTTAATTCATGCATGTATTTTTTTCAATTCAATGAATGCTGAATCCCATGCTTTATCTGTGTGTTTCTCAACTAGGGGGGGAAAAAAAATTATGTTCGTACAAGAAAACATATATTTTCTTTAAGTTGGGGGATTTTTGAACAAAAGG